CCCGACAGGTACTCACATTCGTGTTCGTAAAAATAGAAGAAAGTATACAAGAGAATATTATGAAGTTTTAGGCAAACATGGCAAAATGTACACACTGCAAGCAGAAGATAAAACTACTATTGTCAGACCTCGTTTCAAACTTGTCAAAGTTCAAGGTGGTATACTTTCAAAGACAGTTCCTAACAAATATAAGACAACTCCTGACGAATATGCTAAAGAAGTTGAAAATGACAACTAAGCAATTCTATACCATGCGTAAACTGTCATGTAAGGTGGCATGTATTCTTTACTTTGTCCCGTTGTTTGTGTATATCCTGAAACGAAATGTGTATGGTTTCCTTCTCCCTGAGTGTCACTCCAGTAACAATTTATAGCAAACTTAACGTCGTCTTTAACATCATATCCTTTACCTTTTGTCATTCCTGACTAATCCCAATATCTATGCTTATGCCAACCTGCTTGAGATGTACTTAAATCTATGTAATGACTGTGTGCAGGTAAATTTTCACCTGAAATCGTTTTACTTCCACCTGTTTCCTTTGAAGAGTTTGCACAATACAAAAACCTGTCGACTATTTGTTCCCATGCACCAACACCAAACATTACTTGAGGACCTCTTGCATCCATAGATGTATAAATAGAACCTACTGGGTTCATTAAATCAAACATATGAGATATTATAGGATTGTCTCTTTTGAACTTAAAATATAGTGCAACTATTTCAGGTTTCTTCTGGTTTGTGTCAGAATATTTTTTATAATATAATCTTATGTTTTCAGGGTAGGTAAAATCTTGACTATAATATTTATTTCTGTCATCTGTATAATAATATACTATTCTCGTTTTTTCTATTGCATTATATCTTTTATATCTATAATAATCTAAATATAATGTTAGCTTTTGTTCATCTACATGTGGTGTTCTGTCGTCATCTCCATAGTCATAATAATGTGGTGCTGGAGCTGGGTCAGGCAATGTCATATCTGCCATTTCATAAACTCTTAAATATTTCTTTTGTTCGTCTCCATATAAGTTTAAGTAGCAGTTGTTGTCTAATGGAACTTTAACTTGTGTACCATCATTCTTTTTATAGCTTACATACATTTCATTGTTATTTTTCGGAATGAGTTTATACCGTGTACCATTTTCTAAGGACTGTACCAACTGCCATCTAAAATATTTATTTTCTTCATTGACAGAAAAGTCACCAACAATAGTTTCAATATTTTTTGTTCCTATCAAACTTTGGTATATTTCATTGACATATGTTTTATCTGCTTTATTTTCAAGGCTAACGTTTAAGTCTGTTATTTCAGAAGATGTATGTGTATGTCCAACGTCACTTTTCCTGTTTAAGGTTTCTTGTAAGTTTGTAATATCAGATATAGAATGTGTATGTCCAACGGCACTTTTCCTGTTTAAGGTTTCTTGTAAGTTTGTAATATTTGCAATGGTATGTGTATGTCCAACGTCACTTTTCCTGTTTAAGTTTTCTTGTAAGTTTGTAATATTTGCAATGGTATGTGTATGTCCAACGGCACTTTTCCTGTTTAAGGTTTCTTGTAAGTTTGTAATATCAGATATAGAATGTGTATGAGTCTTATCTGCTTTTGTCTCTAATGTTTCCTTAAGACTTGGTATTTGGTTAATATAATGTATATGAGTCTTTTTAGAATATTCGTTTTCAGCTCTTGTCACTTCACTTGACATTTTATTGTCAACATATGTTTTGTCTGCTAGTTCAGGATGAGTATGTTCTTTTGTTGCATAAGCATTGTTAGCTCTTTCTTCTTCTTTTGCTATTGCATCGTCTACATATTCTTTGTCAGCTTTGTTGTCAACATCTGCTTTCAAAAGAAGTTCATTTATAGGTTTCTCGTTTAAAGTTCCTTTTGTTGGATTTATACAGACAGTATTGTTCTTATTGTCTTGAAATAGAAACTCATCTGTTATAGGGTTTATTGTCAGTTTTAAGTCACCCCCTTTCAATGACTCAGATATCTTAGAATAGTTTGAAAGGTTTGTTGTGTTCTTATTTAGAGCTTGCATAATGAGTTGTCGGTTGTGTTGTATTTCTCTCATAGACGCTGTTTCATTTGACATTTTTATTATAGATAAAATATGCTTCCAATAGAAAAAGAAAATTCTAGAGTTGCTACAACTATACCATTAGATGAACTTTTTACTAATGTCGGTCAAAAGTTTGAGACAGATACCGTAAAGCATGAAGGCTATCGTTTTGACTACCCATTAAGATGGTTAAGAGACCCATCCGTCACAAAAGCTATTGGCTTTCGTAGAATGAAGTTCATTTCAGAAGCCATACATGGTTTCCCATTTACGGTCGGTTTTGAAGTTCGATACTATAACAAAGAAAAACGTATGTATGAAAATTTGAACAGGGAAAACTTTTACAAGTTAGTTTGCTTATAAACTTAGAAACAACTCTTCAAGCTTTTCAAGAAAAAATAAACGATATCTATATTGAATATGCAAACCAGTTTAACATTGACGAAGGAGAATACCATCTCGATATTATTTATGACAGGAAAAATGCAACTGTTAAAATCAATAAAATAGAAGACCTTGGAGAAAACGGTTATATTTCTACAAAATATAACAACTTGGCATGGTATAGATTTATGAGGATGTTAAATCAGCCTGCAGCATATCCAGTACACCCGGACTATTATGAAGTCGAAAACCCTAATGGAACATATGAAAATATTTTCGACCCAGATGCTATTATTGTTCATGCTTCATTTTCTGGCGCCCAAAACTCTTTCTTATGCTTGGCAAATGACTTTTACGAAAAACCTACAAAGTTATACGAACCACCAAGTGGAAGTATTTCAGACTTTCAAGTATGGTTTACTACAGATGGAAGAAAAAGAATAATTCCATTATACCATGCGTTTTACTTAGAACTTAGTTTCATATACAACTACTATCAAACGGTAAAAATATAATTTTTTAATACGGTTGAGGTGTTGGATTTGGTTGCCAACTAGACTGTGGTGCAGGTTCAGGCTGTTGTATAACAGGAGCTTGTTCTTCTGGTTCAGGGTCTTTAGGTATAATACCAACAAACTGACCTACTCTTTTACCAATATTTTTGACTCCGTTCCAAATTCCTTTTTCCTACGGTTTTGACGCCATTCCATATACCTCTTCCAACTCTTCTGAAGAAGTTTCCAATACTACTGAAGAAACCCATTTACTACGTGTAAAAATCTAATGTCCGCCTAGTTTCTTACGTTTCCTGTTGAGTTCCATAGCATTCTTTAACTGGAGCTCATACATTCTGTTTCTCCTCTGGTAGAAAACATATTCTGGGTCAACTCCTGTGTTCGCGTCATCTGCATAAAGTTGTTTATATCCCACTTCAGGGTTTGTATAAAACTCTTTCCATCTCATATTTGCATACCATGGTGGCAAACCTAACGCAGCGTCATTTGACATGGCAGTTTGCATTTGTACATCTGTTGGCACTTGACCATAGTTTGCCATTGCAGTTTGTATTCTAACTTCATTTGGAATATTCACTGGGTTTGGTTGTCCAGGTTGCTGTGCATTCGCTAAGTTCTGTGCGTCCATTTAATATTAGATAAAAATATCTCTTACGAGTACATATACTGAACATTTGCAGGCATTGGTTCATCTTCATATTCTCTGTACTTTTCTGCCACGTCAAATAAATAAATGACACAATGGAAAAAACCTAAAACAAGTAGTCCTATTTCAAACCACATTTACTTACTAATAAAATTTCTTTATTGTGACACTTTCTCCAGTTTATAGGACCTCTCTCATATTCTATCTTGTCATATATAAACTCATAGTCATGTATGTCCTCTAACCATCTCATAACGGTTTCCAAACCACTTTTATCGGATGTAAAGTAAAAGCATGGATGGTTATGTATAACGTCTAAAGTTTCTAAAGAGTCTCTCAAAGTCCAGTCTACTTGGTATTGAAAATCCCATGTGTTATAGAACGGCGGGTCCACTATAAAGAAAACATTTTCCTTGTCTTTATATTTTTCATACAACTCTGTCCAATGACATCTCACAAACTCTATACCCTCAATATATTTTTCTATGTTCTCTTTGAAAAACATTTGTATAGTTAAGATATAAAACTTTTGACATAAGTGTTTCAACGTCATGAACTCTTATAGCACCACTATATAATAGTCTAGCAGATATACTATTCCAGTCTATATATTCTGCTTTTTTCAAAACCTCTCTCACAATATTTTTCTTATCTAATGGTATACGTTCCATCTTACCTATAGGTATCTTTTCTTTTAACTCTTTCAATATATTGTTTGTGTCTGGAATATGTTTGAGACGGTCCATATAGTTGTCGAAGTCATTGCATATAATCTTTGAGTCTGGGAATATTGTATGGCACAAATGGGATATATAGAAACTTCCACCGAACAAATCTACAAATGTTAGACCATTCGGTAGTTTCTTAAGTTCTCTCAATATAATATCTTTACATCTACTCTTATTTCCAAAGAACGGTAACGGTGGTTTTGTAAAATTCATTTATATATAATAATAAAAATGTTTTTACCCGAAAAGTGACAGAAAAGTGACAAAACATGAAAACATATATAATTTGTGAAAAGCGACACAAAAAGTGATATTTAAAAAAGTGACACCATTAATATGATGTAAATAACAACGGTTTTGGTTTTGTCACCGGCTGGTCGGCTGGGGTTCGGTCCTCCTCTTGGGTCTTGGGCAAAATTTCTTAGGGGCTAGAGGGCGCAACGCGCCTGGAAGCCCCACTTACCTGACCTTAATGCGTATTCTTATTGTATAAATTTCTTTTCCAATCATTCAAGTGCAATATTACACTTTTGTATTCAAAATGCTAATTCTTTGAAAAGTAAAATTTTGAGAGAAGAAATTTTTCTGGTATTTTAATAATTGTGAGGTTTAAAAGCTCGTAACAATTTTTTCATTATTTAAAGAAGCGTCTCAGATATGAAGCTCCAATTGCTCATCCGCGAATCATTGAGATTTGTTCTCACATACGCTATTCCATTTATCTTGACTTGCCGTGCTATTCAATCAAATGATATGGATGCCATTAATATCTCCATTTTCCGTTGGGGATTACTTGGTTTATTAGAATTCATCGACCCAATCGCATCTCCTCTTTTATCATTGTTCCCATTTGTAAGCATTCTTAAATTTGTAATTTACTTATGGGTATGCATTCCAGTTATGAGCATGGGAGAAATGTTTTACATTTATGTTTACGATCCAATGGTTGTTCAAAATTCCCCAATGGATGTTTTGAATTCCTCTTATAATTCTTTTCTTAATGCCACATACAACAGATTCATGAGCTACGTTAATGAATTCAAAAACCAGTCAATCAATTCCCCTCACTAAAATTTTGTTTGTTATTTTTATTATAAAAATTAGACTTTTATATTTAGAAAACTTATAATTTGAAGTATTGTACATGATTTTCTTTGGAAAATATCCTTGAGAATGGGTTTTAAGAAATATAATAAAATGAATTAAAATTCGTCATTAGATTGATTCATAATGCTATAACAGAATAGAGGATTCTTTTTCATATCTGTAGTCATTTTTTTCTCCTAAATTTTGCCCAGTTCGATCATTTTCAATGAAATTTTTGAGAGGAAAATTCAATTTATGAAATTATACATATTTATTGTTGAAGGGCAATTAATAATCTAAAATTTCACTTTACATGACAAAATTTTATCTGACCAAAATTCTGAAATTTTCGAATTTTTTCTATTGAAAAATGTCCGAATAAAATCTTTTCATTATTTATAGATGTCAAAACCTTTGACTGAAGTCTATTACAAGCTTGACGTAGTAGGAGATAATAATGATCCTAAGGAACTTGCGTTTCATTACTTTTACGAATGGCTACAAAAATTTGATAAAGATGAAACTTTGAAGTCTATTGAAACACGCATTATCAAGAAATACGAAGATCAAATAGCCACAAAGAATTCATTTTCAATGCGTATTTCCTTTTATAATCATGATCATGCAAATTCATTAAGAAGATACATGTCATATAGAGAATTTGACGGAATAGCTAAGGCTGTAGCCTTTTGGTATGGTATACATCCTGCACACGAAGTTATCTTACGAAATGCAACTAAGGATGACACTCGAAGATCAATATTCGAAAAATTTGATCGTTATGGCGATATTGGCCGTGTAACTCCATGTAAAAGTAATCCTCATGTCTTTTGGATTTCTTATATTAGTTCTAAGGGTGCTAAAAATGCAATTGCATCAAAATCCGATGTTACTAGTGCAAATTCCAAATTAAATAATAGCTAAAAAGCAACAACTAGTATGTAACATTGTATATTTGAAATAAAACTTTGTTTATTCATGTTAATTTTTTAGAAATACTTTCATATTCTAATTCAAATATTGAGAGTGAGGAAATTTAATTTTTGAGACAAAACCATTGAATTTCTTTCATTTGTTGACCATTTTCCTTGTGTCATTTGGCTTTTTTTGGGTTGGCATCACGACGTAAACTTCTCAATCTTGAACAGTTTACATTGTGATGTCAAACTCATCTCAATCAGCCTCACTTTTAAGAAATTGTTACTGCATAAAATCATGATTTAGTTCGATAACAAAAAATATAACATAACTTTTATAAAACAAACATAATTTTATTAAATAGATAAAATCAATTTCTTCTTCTGATTCTTTGAGCAGCGTTAAGTAGCATTTCTTCTCCATTTTGTTCTGCATATTCAATAACTTTGGCAATATCTAAATTATCATCTTTTTCAGCGATTCTCAGTGCCTCTCCAGCAAAATTCAACTTCAATAGAAGTTCAACTTGTAGAGAAACAGTTTTAACATGTGTTTTAATGAACTTAACCATTGTCTGCAAATCAGCAGCTCTCGAGGCAACCTTCAACACGAAAGCCTTTGCAATTCTATGGTAAGTTTTATTATCAGCTCTATTATAAAGGAATTCTAAGAACTGAGGGATTTTCTCAGGATGTCTTCCGAAATCGCTAATTCTATCTACAGCAGAATCACAAGCATCTTCCATCAATCCTTGGTAGCAATCGCTTATTCCAACACAAACATTGAATCTTCCATTAATCAAAGACAAAATACACATTAATAATGCATCGCTTCTTTTTCCGCCAATCAAATCCAGGTTTTTGAACGGAATATTTTCATCAATACACATCTGAATGAACTGATGTTCAATACCTGCAACACTGGACATCTTCATCAATTGAGAATTAGTCATAGATTTATCGGAATCCTCTTCATTGCTTTGTTTCTTATTTGATCTTTCATGAATTTCAGAAACAACAGTATCAACAATGAATTTAAGGTCTTCAAGCTTTTTAGACCAACTCTCTCTTGTAGGAAGTATCTGCATTTTATAGTTCAATGCTTTCTCATATTTCTTCAATTTAATTAATAAAGACAATGACAAATCTTCCATTCCTTTCTGCCAAAAGAAATCAGCGACTTGTTCAACATTTATAACTTTGGAAAGTTCGTCAACATATCTCAACAACTTCTTCCATTGCAAATTAGCAATTGCTGGGACGAAAATAGTTCTCATTGTCATTTGAAGACCTTTTTGGGAACTTGGAATTTCGTTATAACTTGTTATTGATGATTCAAACATTCCACAACTCGAACAAAAAGTGCTGTATTCTATTGGACCAAAGAAAACTTTGATGATATCATTAAGGAATATCGCTTGTTCATTTAGCTGCAAACTGAAGTCTAATCCATCCAAAATAGCTCTAACTCTTTCATGAATACTTCGAACAGCAACTCCGTGGATTTGATTTCCATTTGGCATTTTACATTTCACTTTTTTATCTTTGCAACTTACAAGTAATTGTGTGTTCGAGCCAAGCAACATGGAAAGATATGGATCACTGTTTTGAGTCCTTGTTAAGAAGTATAAATATGGATAACTTAAATCTCTAACCGCCATTTGTAAACCCAACGGTTTTAAGTGGCCGCCCAAAATTTTTTCTCTTTGTATTGAATCTCTTGACAGTTTGTCATCTCCCATCAAGAAAGATATTATTGCTTTAGATAACAAAGCAATAGAACTGGAGAACTTCCATGGTCCTTTTATTTCATCAACAATATCAACGTCTTTGAGGCAGCATTTCAAAGATAAATCATCAACAAAAGCCAAAGAGTTGAAATAACTTAAATCAACAGGAATAGAATATCTTCCGAATAAAATATTCTCGCGGAAGAGTTTTGTCAATGAATTGACTTGTGAACATTCAGTTTCGTATAGGAAAAGTTCACTTTTGCTCACTTCACTTTTGATTTTATTCAAAATTCTGGAAATTTTTGTCATAATTTTTATGACTTCATTTTCACTTTCTACTGAATCGAATTCCAGTTTTGAAACATCATTGAGAAGTAGTTCACAGAATAGTTTAGTAATATTCTGTTTCTTCTTAAATAGATTAATTCTTTCCAATGATTTCTCTATACTCAAAACATCAACAATAACTTCTTTGAATTTGAATTTATTCAATTCCACTTTTTCTGTCAGATTTAATTTATCTTTTTCGATTTCTTCCTTGATTTTGTCATATAAGTCTTCATCGATATCAACAAGATTTAGTTTCTGTGCTAAGCTTTCTATTGATGTATTCTCTATGTCCAAATCAAATGTTGCGTTCTTAACTGTTTTCGTGCAAACATCTGAAGGCAAAAGATTCAAGATTTCGACACTGAATTCACCATATTTTTTGAGACAAAATGGATCTTTTTGAATGAATAATGTCATTTTTTCTATGAAATAATCCAATTCATAAAATTCTTTTGCAAATCTCTTTCCAAGCAAAAATTCTTGTTTGTTCAAGAGTTCGTCAATGATTCCTTTAGTGTCTTTCTTCTCTATACCTAATTCGGCAACTTTGACAACATTTAATGATGATTTTTCTGGATAAATTTGAATAAAATCTGACAATTTGACATCAACTGTCAAACTATCAAATATTTTAGTGTTTTTCAGTCTTAGATCAATCAGTTTATCTATATCATTATTATTTAACGCTTCTTTGACTTCTTTGACAAAATCTTCTTCACAAATTTCGGATTGTAAACTATTCAAAATTTCCACTTCATTTTCTGATATTTTTCTTGGATTATTTATGAGTTTGATGCATTGTGCAACGAGAGGATATTCTTTCTCCATGATTGGCAACAAGTCTATTGAGTTCTTTGTTGCCAAAATCCTTTCAATTGAGTTTGGACCCAAAATTTTTGAAATTTCAGTTGAATTTTTCAATTCTTGGATGATTTGTGCGGGTGATTTGTAGTTCTTCTGGTGTAACATGGCTTCCATTGACAGATATTGATGTAACAAGTTGTAATTGACAGGAATCTGATCAATTAAAGTGTAATCTTCCATCGCATTTTGTATGAGTTTCATCAAATCATTAATATTTTGTGTAGTATCAACAGGAGCAAGTATTTGCAATGGCGTTTTGTTTTTCCTGCTTTCAAAGATCTTATTAAGTCCAGGAATATCAGATTTGAATGAAGGTGAAGTGACCATATATGAAAAATTTTTCTCCAATTCAAAAGTTTTGTTTGGTATTTTTAAGGAAACTGTTGAATTTGTACGTAAAACATCCAAAGCTTGAGCGGCTTGGCATAATTCAACAAGTTTTGCATTGCCCTGAACAGTTTTCTCGCATAATTCGAACATTTTTTGCGATAAGCATTTTACTAAAGCTTCTTCCTGCGAATACAGACATTCTTTGAACTTAGTAAAGCCCAAGTGTTGACCAAACATCAATCTGGAGAGTCCTCTTGATATGGCATCGTATTCTTGTGAAGATGCAAATGGCATAATCGCGGTTATCAACAATTTTGCATCTTCTAGGGAGAAATCGAGCTGAGGAAGGAATAATAATGAGAACAAGTCGACTGTCAAGCATCTAATTACTTCAGGATCCCTAATTTTGGAAAGATATTCATTTAATTTCACGGGATCGAACTTATCTAAGACAGATTCGTAACATCTGTATGCATATAATATTGAAATATCACGTTCTCTGTCGTTATCTGCTAATACAAATAATTTATTTTGCATAAATGAGTCTAAAACCTCTGTTTCTATAGTACTGATGATCGGCATCAAAAAGTGTGGTATTGATTTGTTTGCTAAATCGTCTGTTGAGATTTTTATTCCAAGATTTAAGGTTAATTGATTAATTAACTGAGCATCGTTTGTAAATCTCTCAAAAATACTGTTACACATCTCATTGTTGCCATATTGGCTACTTAATGCTTCGAAATGAGGTTTGTCTGTTGCTAATTCTTCGTATTTCGATAATAAGATCCAAGAATTTACTTCTGGGAAGCTTTCTGTAATATTCGCTAATTTTGTGAAGTTATCTGCCATCATTGATGAACTTGCTTTTAAGTATAAAATGTCAAAAAAGTTTTTGTGCTTAATTATTGCGTCATTTGTTAAAGTAAGGACATTATTTTCTTTAAATAACTTTGATGATGTCGGAAATGGCTCTCCACATTCGAATAAGCTTTGAAATACTTTTGTCATCTTTTCATCTGTTATAAACGAAGGATATTGTAAAAACTGAGCGATATTTGTTGCATTAATCGAAGATGGTGGAAAGAATTCCAAAAACGATGGATCTATTGTTGTTACTATTGCAAACGTTTCAATTCCAAATTCAGTGATGAAATTCTTCGGGCCGATCTGTTTGAGCAACCTCGTAACACACGGCTCGAGAGCACAGAGCAATGACTGCTCTTTCTTGAGAAAATGCAATAAATTATCTAAAATAATTTTGAAATTTTTCTCTGCTGGTTTTTGTGGAGAAGCGAGATAGGGAAATAGATCTTCACTCCATTTCTTATTCAATTTCTTTAATTCGAGAAGATAATATGGTAATAAATCTATTTTCGCTTTTTTAGTTTTTCCGTTGATGAAATTATATAAATCAAATCTAAAATATGTTGGATGTGGACTAATTTCATTAGTTGTATATTGTAAAGGTGGCTTCGCACTGAGTAAATCATTGAATTTTCGAAATATATCTTCTTCTGAAAAATTGGAACTAAAAATGTTCCAAAAAACAGGCTGGCCAATACAAGCATGTCGAATAAACTCGATTGTGCTTCTGGTATTGTCTCCAACCGGAGGGAATTGTAAAAAATCGGAATTCAAAAGATTTGTCAGTTTTTTTACCCTCTTGAAGAGAAATCATTTACATGAAAAATATTCTATTCCTATGAACACGAAGAATTTTAATCACAATATGCCATTTCATCGTCTTCTGATGGAGAATGTCAGAATTTTCAATTTTCGAAATTAGTCCAGTATAAATGCAATATAATAATATATCATTGCAAATAAAGCTAATTGTATCATAAAAATATCAGTATTTGCTAATTTGAAAAATCATTCGTTTGCGAATAGATAGTATAGCTTTGTCAATACTAATATTTTCATATTTCATGAATGTAGCCATATTTGTCATAGTGAATCCTATAATATTCTAATATTGGATCATTATTCTTGAAATCAAAGATTCAGTAGGTATAATTGCAACGAAGTTCATTGGAAATATTAATACTTCTTGCTCAGAAATGCCAAATGTCAACAGAAATGCATGTCAGGAACTTTAATTCCTAAAATCAATAATTCATAACTGATTTTCTCAACAATTTTATTTGAACTAATTAAATTGGATATCCCCCAACAATTCACTACTTAAAAAAAGAGAAATGGATCATTACATTTTCTGTGCACGTTTAATAATTTTAAACTAAATTTATTATCATGTCTTTCGTCACCTTAAGTCCTACAAAAACTCTGCAATCAGATATGAATACATACGATATCGAGCAGAGTGTTGAATTCTCTGCTTTATCAGCATATATTGCAGAGTTAACAACCAATTCATCAATTAATCTTGAAATTTCTGAACAAGAAAAGCAAAACGTTCGTATATTACTCAATAATTTACTTGGAAGCATTGCTAATTTGCCAAGAGATTATATAATGACGCAAGAAAATACAAAATCCTATTCAACTGTTTTTCATCTTGTAACATTAGCTTTAGATTTAGTTTGTGGCAATGCAACAGATGAGGCATCAGAGCAGAAGCTTCAAGAAATGCAAATTTACCAAAGATCTATCCTGAAATCGTTATCTCAAAATCTTGGCCTTCCTGATGTGAAAACTCAGCTAGATTTTATTACAAATGTCAAATCTATTCAAGTTTCTAGAGATGAACTCGTTTATGACTTAATTAATACATTTAATCTGCCTGTCACTACAACACCATCTGAAATTGTAGCAGCTCTTCAAGGAAAGTTTAATGAAGCCAGCAATGGACATTTTGATCAAGCACAGAATAAGAAGCAACTCGATTCTATCAAAAGCCAGCTTGAAACCAAAAATAATGCTCTCAATCGCAAAGAAGATATTATTAAACAGCTACAAAATAAGGTCATTGAACTTCAAGATGCTGTTGCTCTCATTAATAAGGAGAGCCAAACTAAAGATTCACAGATTTCCCAGTTACAATCAAGAATTAACACAATTGGTGGCGACCTTGAAAGATCTCAGAAGAAGAACTCTGTTAATAAGCGAACAATTGATCAATTATCTAAATCAAATACAGATCTTCAGAATCAACTTAATCAAGCAAACAATGAATTACAAAACCTTAGAAAGCTTCCATCAGCAGAATCAAAGGCTGCCGGTGAAATTGCTTCTCTCAAGAAGAATTTAGAGCATGCTGAAGAAGAAAAGAACAGCTTACTCAAATTGCTTGACGATTTCACAGTACAACTTGAACAGCAAGCCGATGAACTCAATGAAGAAACAGATAACAGAATGTCTCTCATCATAGCTGTTCAAAAGTTAACAACAATTAATGAAATCCTTGAGAAAGAGGTTGAAAAGGCTCACGAAGAAATTAAGAAAGTTTCAAACGAAAAGGCCAAACAACAATTACTCCAACATTCTCAAGAAATTTCAAACAAAGCAATTGAGGAAGTCATTTCTCAGGCAAAGGATCTTGCAGCTAGTTCTTCAAACGAAGAACTTGATGGAATCTTTGATCAGAACAAAGAATCAACACCACAGGAAAGACTTATTGATGGAATCGCAGCTCTCATTGCTAGGGCAGAAAATACTCCAGTTATTGAAAGATCAATTACAGTAGAAGATGAGGAGAAACCAAAAGATGATACAACAAAACTCCAGATGACAATCAAAGGCTTGGTTTCATTCATCCAAGATATGGCTGAATCCGGAAATATTTCCAAATGGGCTTCAATTGATGAGTCAACATCAGATGCTAGAAAGAAGTTGTTAAATGAAATTAGAAGAATCAATGATTTCATTAGTGAAAATGCTATTCCATTATTTGAAGAATCAACATTCATTGAATATCTTGGACTCAATGCAAATGTTACAGATTTCCAAGCTAAGGCCAATGAAGTATTATCTCAAGTTCAAGATGAGGAAGATCCAAAGGAACTCTTCAATCTTTTAACTTATGCCATCATTTCAAATGATGTTCTCAGAAGATATGCAAGCCAGGCAAAGATGACAGTTTCTCATTTGTCATCTTCTCTCAAATCACTCAAAGTTGAAACACAGAATCAACAAAAAGCAACCGAAGAGAAGCATTACAATGAAAAGGTTGAATTATTAAATGAATTAGAAAAGCTCAAGAAAGAAAATGAAGATGTTACAGAATGCGTCAAGAATGTTAAGACAATTCTACAGAATTCTGCAACAAAGGATAATGATACAAATACAATTATCCGTTGCATTGAAGAAATTAACCAAGCTAAGCCAGAATTAAATGAGAATGATTACATCAATGAACTTGAAAATGTTTTGAGAACCAAGTTTAATGACTATAAAGCTCTTAAGGAAGAAACAGATAAGAAGATCGAAGATTTAGAAGATGAACTTGAGCATTACAAGAAAGTTCTTACTGCAAATAAGGAGAAGGCTATCGAAGTTAGTGCACAACAGCTCAATGAGATTGAAAAGATCAAGACATCTCTAACAGATTCAGAAGAATTAATTAACAAGTTACGTGAAGAAAAGGAGAAATTAGAAGTACAAGTTGAAAACTCCAAGAATGATATAATCAAAGCAACAGCAGAGCTCAGAAAAGAACTCTTTAACACAAAGAATGAACTTGAAAGTTTACATGATGAACATGAGCAGAAGATGCACGCATTGACAGGAGAAAATTCTTATCTCAAGAAGACAATGGCCGAAGTCAAGGCTAGCACTGATAGGCAGCTTCTAATTGCTAAGAAGGCAATGAAGAAGGAAATTCGGCGTATTACTCAGCAATCAAATGCTAAACAAGCCGAGTATGAGGAAGCTATTCTCAAACAGAAAGCAGATAATGATAATCTTACTGAGAAATTGCATAAAGCTGAAGATGAAAACAAGCAAATCACCGAGTCACTTAACAATGCCGTGGAATATGGAAAAGAGAAAGAAAATGAGATTGCAAAGATCAATCTTGAACAAAAACTTCTTAAGACAAAGCTCACAAGCTTTTCAGATAAGTTGAAGAGGAACAACTCAGTCTTTGAATCACAGATGAAATTGAAATTATTCGCAATGGAAACCGAATCTAGATCAAAGATTGACACAATTAAATCTGAATGTTCTAAGAAGTTTGATCTATTACTCAAGGAAATCTATTCAACACTTGAGGAATTTGATAATAATGATATTCCATTAACAGTTGACGAAGAAAACGTTTTAGAATTAATCGGAACAGTTGCTCAGATTGCTCGTAATGTACCGGATCTTCAACAATCAGTTCAACAATTACAATCAGAAATCTTTAATATCAGAGATACTCTTAATATTTCTAAGAGCACAAGAATATCTAATATTTCAAAGGAACTTGAACAGAAGATGAAGAATAGTAAAGATGAGATTGAAAAACTTACACAAGAAAACAAACAGATGAAGAAAGACCTCATTGGAATGAGATCTCTTGCTCAACAAGAAAAGATTAACAGTGAATGGGAGAATTGGGCAAGAAAGCTCCACCTTCAGATTTCAGATGGAGAAATAACAATCAAGAGTGCAAGAGAGATCAGACAATCTATCGAAGATCTTGTCGCATCATCTTGCAATGATAAGTCGCTTTGGATGAAAGTTGAAAGCCTTAGAGATGAGAAGAAGCTCATAATGATGGGAGCCCATAATATTCAAAGAAAGATCACACCTGCAAAACTTAACAATATCACGACCGCTCTAAAGTTCTTATGCAAGATCCAGAAAATGTCTGGCTATAATTATGATGGAGAATTAACTACAATGATCTCACACAACAATAATATTACTCCGCAAAATTCAATTCATAGCGAAGTAGCACCTTCTGTCATTAGCTCAAAGTCAAAGTCTCCTCTCTTTTCACAATTTGTCCGTGGTACTGAAGCTGAGTAAATTTCAGGACCATATTTTTAGATTATTTTATAATTTGTAATTTATTATTTTCTATTTCCTTTTATTTAAACCGTTTTATTTATTATATTGAACTTATGATTTTAGTATGAATGAAATTATCCTGGAACCATATTTGAGAATGATAACCATCACCCTATTGGTTTTCTTCTAAAACAGTCTTTACATATAACTCAGAAGTGTCAGTAATAATCAGAGCATTCTCAATTTATTCATGTTTTGCTTCAAATTATTTTTAGAAAATTTGAATTTCATTGTTTCTATAATGATTTCTAGATGAAATAGTTCCTAACAACATTTCAGTATATATCGTGAATATTTTTAAATAAATATTGAAAATTGAGCTATCCTGAAGAAAAAAACGTATTAAAATGTCGCAGGAACTGAGAAATAGGCTTTATACTAAAAATACAACAACAAAAATGCCCAAAGTATTAAAGCCAAAAAATTCGCGACAACTTGCACCAGGAAGTGTAAGTTTTTCACTTTCTCAACCTGTTCCAATTCCAAGATTAATTACAGAACATGACAAAGATCAAGATCAAACATTTTTAACAACGCAAAATTCTGACGCGACTTCAGAAATAGCAACTGAACTCCCTAATATTACAATTCCTTCTCCAACAAGAACATCAAATAACGTTATTAGGCCAGCTACGGCAATTATGCATATGAGCGCAACGAAACCAATACAAAGATCAAAACCACCTACTTTAATTCCGTTAGGTTTCAAGCCTTTATCAGAATATCAAGAAGTCTCGAGACCTACAACAAAGCAGTCGAAAACCAAATCGGTACTATCTACGGAACCGCCAGATGTTACTAAAAATCCTATTTTCAGACTCAAAAAATCAAATCTCGAAGTTCAAATTCCTGAAGACCTCGAACGCTTTAAATTGGATCCTATCTATACTCCTGATATTAGTGATGAGCTGTGGTTGGATCCATCTCTTATCTTCAATTACATTCGTTTAATTCGTCAGAAAAGATTTACCGAAGAATTTCTTTATTTCGTTCCAACACCAGAGACCCCTCATGAACCTCAAAATGTCTTCTTCTTAAGATATATACCGCCGGACCAAATAGATAAAGATCATTACTACACTTTATCTGCAGATGGAATTACTTCATATTCGAAAGAGTCTAATAGTGAATTTATACCTCTTGATCAATGGATCCGCGAATGTTCTTTATTCTTGCGAACAAAACAAATTGGATTTTTCAATCATTACGACAAATGGCGTTCTTTTTACTTATTACATACAATTACACGCAATGCTAATATCAATAAATCTAAACAACACGTTTCTGATAAGTTATTTAACGGAGATACTATTATTCGTGAAGCTTTAATTGTTCATCAAAAGAATTGTCAACAATTACTTAAGCTCTCACTTGTAGATGTTAAATCAGCACAAACATTAACACTTGATCAATTCATTGAACGTCAAAAAGCAAATAAAGTTGCTGTTTCCCAAGAAATTAGTAAATTATTAAGTCAAACAACAGCCAAAATCATTTCTTCCTGCGATCTTACATATGAAAATGCAGGAGGATCTAAAGGAGAAGAAGAAACTTACAGAGCAACGAAGAAAGATATGATGATCAACGTGAAAGCACCAAAACAAAAGAAGATTGGCTCAAATGATATGATGGTTTATACTCAGCTTGCTACTCAAAGGTTCTGTTATAAGAGATTATCAAGATTTATTAGATTATGTGATTATATTTTAATTCGTACTCTATATCAATTCATTATACAGAGTGCACAGCAATTATTAGACTTTTTGAAGCCACGTGCAGGTTCTACAGGTGGTGATAACACTAGATTATCAACGCAAGTGATTATTGAAAATAATAAGTTGGCTTTTGCACCAAATAAAGAGCAAATGATTGATTCTGTATCATCAATATGGGTAGATTTGATGAATTTGATATATTCCATTCCATTATTCTCAAGTAATCAATCATTATTACAATATGCTCAAGCATTTCCGTGGGAAAACCCTGCAATCCCACTTCCAACCATTATCAACCGTGATGCATTATATCAGAACCTCGTTTCTCAGTTTACTGTCCGAATTGAAACTGCATTTGCGGAAGGTGAGGCAACTCTCAAGGAATACACCCATTTCTTGGAGTCATACATCCGAAATACCCAAGAATTCAACATAGACAAGCTCCACAAACAAGATCCTCCTCCATCATTTTACGCGGATTCTCTTGCAAACTACAAACAAGAGATCCACGAGATGGATCAGATCAAACATTCAGTGCAAGTCAATATGTTGCTCATTCTTCTTGGTACTTTCGCAGACAAAATCAAGCCATCTCCAAGAAATTGCATGCAGTCACTTCACATCCTCATTCCAACCATTGCAGAGCAGAAAGTTGAAGATCTTACGAACTATGTCAACGAAGCTCTTTCAACTCTCAAGCAGGATCCAGCAGAAATCCACTTTTTCGTTACACAATTTGAATTTCGGAAAAGAATGGTTTCAGAATTACCAACAATTCAAGGAAAATACAAGGATTATACTGCTTTCTATAATCTCATTGCCCAAAACAACATCAATATCAGCGAGCAAAGCGGTATATCATACAGAGAGTTAGGAAACTTGATCACACAACTCGAAGGATGTTTGATTTCCATGAAGGAAGAAGAAGACAACAAAATCAAGAAATGGTCACCAGAAATCACTAAATTACTACAGAAACTCACTGATGATTTACTTGCCTTGCAACAAGATGCTAACAATGAGATACTTATGTCAGCAGAAACTAATTCTGACCAAGCAATTTCGAATGTCCAGAAATTGCAAGAAAGATTGGCAGAAATGAAACAAAGAGCAGAACAAGTTCAACATCACCAGAGAGTTTTAGGACTAAAGATTTCACCAATAGACCAATTGGACGAAGTCGACCAGAACATCAACTTAAAGACATTGTTATGGGAATCGTACAAGGCATGGAATACAAGAGCTGCGGAGTTGTCGATGATGCCTTTCAAGAAGATAAACAACGAAGAATTGACAGAAGAACTCGATAAATACACAAGAATTACTTCACAGTTAAACAACGGATTACCAGACCATCCATTGGTTAAAATCTTTAGAAGAAGTGTACAAGATTACAATGCAATATTACCTGTTATCATTGCTCTTTCTAATGATCATTTAACTCCAAATCATTGGACGAAAATCAAAGATATTACAGGTATCAATTTCCAAGAGAAAACTCCAACATTGCAATTCTTGTTCCAAAACAACATTGCTCAACATGTGGAACCAATCGAGTCCATCTCAAACGACGCATCACAAGAAGCAAGTCTCAGAAGGATGCTTGCGGAAATTATCATGCAATGGGATGTTGTCGAATTCCCAATGGTTCCTCATCAATATATCAAAGATTTCTGGTTGGTTGGAAATCTCGATGATGTTATTGCTAAATTAGATGAATCGCAAGTCAAGTTATCAACAATCAGATCATCAAGATATGTTGGTGCAATCAAAAGAGAAGTAGATACAGTATCAACAAATATGAATAATGTTGCAAAATGCTTGGAATATATCACACAATTCCAAATCGCTTTCAACTCTCTTTATAAGATTTTCAGATCTAGTGATATTCAACACGAATTAGCAACAGAAACAAGAGATTTATCAACACTAGAAAGAGAATATAAGAAGTGGGGAACACATGCAAGAGATTCTCCTAAGCCTTATAAATTATTTACTCAACAAAAGGCTGTTCCTCAATTGGAAGAATTCATTGAAGTTACAAATAAGGTTCAGAAGAAATTGGAAGAATTTTTGCAAACAAAAAGAACAGGATTTCCAAGATTTTACTTCTTGTCAAACGAAAATCTCATCAAGATTTTTGCAGAATCAAGAAATCCAAAGGCAGTCAATCCATTCCTTCCAAAGTTATTCGAAGGCATTTCCCTTCTTAACTTCTCACAGAACGACCAAGATGTTCAATCAATGCAATCAGCAGAAGGCGAAGTTGTTCCTCTCATCAAATGCAAGTTCCAAATTGGTGCTGTTGAAGTCGGAATGTCTTCTGTTGAAAAGGCAATGTACATGACAATGCACGCAATGGTTGCTGAAGGACATAAGCAATACGAGCAGTTGCAAAGAACTAAATGGATAAGTAGACATTCTGCTCAAGTCATTTCTGTTGTTTCTCAAATTTATTTCGCGGAAACTGTTGAAGAAATTTTGTCTTCGCAGAATCCAATCCAAGAATTAGAGAAATACAAAGAAAAACAAGAGGCACAATTAAGAGAATTAGCTGATTTAGTTCGTACACCATTAGCTTCTGCAATGAGATCAGGTATCGTTGCTTTAATCACTCTAGATGTACACTCAAGAGATATTGTTTCAGAATTAATTGACAAAAAAGTTTCATCTGTAAATGATTTCGAGTGGTTGAAGAGATTAAGATACGTATGGGATGCAGCATCAAACAGAGTACAAGTACACCAAGGTACAAACTCAATTGACTATGGATATGAATATCTTGGAGCAACGTCAAGGTTAGTTGTCACTCCTTTAACAGAAAGATGTTATTTGACATTGACAAGTGCTGCTCAATACTTCCTTGGCGGTTCTCCAGCAGGACCTGCAGGTACTGGTAAAACAGAAACCGTCAAAGATCTTTCAAAGGCTGTTGGCAATTTCTGTGTCGTATTCAACTGTTCTGATGCTGTCACTGTCATACAAATGGAAGCTTTCTTTAGTGGTTTGGCACAATCTGGCGCTTGGGCTTGTTTCGATGAATTCAACAGAATTAACAGTGAAGTTCTTTCTGTTATTGCTGAACAAGTTTATGCTGTTCAAGCAGCACAAGCAGCAGAATTGCAGCAGTTCAATTTCTGTGGACACACAATTACTCTTAATCCTCGTGCAAGTGTTTTCATCACAATGAATCCCGGTTACGCAGGAAGAACAGAGCTTCCAGATAACTTGAAATCATTGTTCAGACCAATAGCTATGATGGTTCCTGATTATGCAATGATTGCAGAAGTTGTCTTGTATTCAGAAGGTTTCAACAATGCTAAAGTTTTGGCTCAAAAAGTTACACAACTTTATAAATTATCAAGTGAAATGCTTTCACAGCAATCTCACTATGATTTCGGTATGCGTGCACTTAAATCAGTTTTAGTCATGGCTGGCGCAACAAAGAGAAGAACTCCACAACTGAGTGAAGACATCATTTTGATCAGATCAATGAGAGATTCGAACTTGTCCAAATTATTAATTGATGATACTAAGTTATTCGATGCAATTATTGGTGATTTGTTCCCAGGAGTTACATTCGAGAACGAACAATTCACTGAAGTTTCCGAAGCAATTGAAAAAGCCGTGGACAATTTCGGATTGCAACATTCCGCTTTCCTTACAAAGAAGACCATCCAATTATACCAAACAATATTCATCAGACACGGTGTCATGTTGGTTGGTCCAACAGGTGGTGGCAAGACAACATCAAGAAACTTGTTGGCAGGAGCATTAGAAGTCATGGGAACTAAAGTTGATCAGAAAGAATTGAATCCAAAATCTGTCACTTTAACAGAACTTTACGGTGCTTATAACTTGTCAACTGGCGATTGGAAGAATGGTTTAGTTGGCATTATGTTCACACAATGCGCAGATGCTCCTAAAGAACAGATGGAATGGATCATCTTCGATGGACCAGTCGATGCTTTGTGGATTGAAAACATGAACACAGTTTTGGATGATAACAAACTTTTATCACTTGCAAACAGTGATAGAATTAAAATGACAGACCAAATGCACATCATCTTCGAAGTAGGTGATCTTGTGCAAGCTTCTCCTGCTACTGTTTCTCGTTGTGGTATGGTTTACTACCAGCCTTCTGATTTAGGTTGGAAACCATTAGTTAATGCATGGATTGCAAAGAAACCAGAAAATGTCAGAAGTGCTTTAACAGAGTTATTCGAAAAGACATTTGATAATGCACTTAATACTTTAAGAGATCAATGTCAGACAGTTGTTAAGCCAACAGTTTGGAACTTGGCACAATCATTATGTTCTATTTTCGATGTAATGGTCAGTGAATCCAAACTTAAATTAGAAGAATTAGCAGAAGATATTGCTCCTAAAGGTTGTGCTCATATCTTTGCATTCGCAATGTGCTGGGCATTTTCAGGCATCATTACTGATTCAACAAGAGGAGATTTCGATACATTTTTGAGAGATGTTTTCCAGAGAAGAATCAATTATCCCCCAAGAAGAATGCTGATGGATTACAGTTTAGATGTAATGACAGATACATTTACTGCTTGGTCAGATCAAGTTCCAGAGCCAACACCAAATTCAGCAGTTATTCCAACATCGGATACATTAAGATTCTCAACAATGTTTGCATTGTTGATCAAGGCAAAGCGCCCAGTTCTTTTCTTGGGAGAAAGTGGCTGTGGAAAGACATCAATCATCCAAGAAACGCTTAACAAGAACATTGAATCATTGTATTCAATCCAATTCACCTTGTCTGCGAGAACATCTGCAGCTCAAATTCAAGAATTAATTGAATCAAAGATGCAATCGAAGAGAAAGAACTTATATGGTCCGCCAGAAGGAAAATCTGCTGTTTTACTTGTAGATGACTTCTCAATGCCTCAACCAGATGAATATTGGTCACAACCTCCAATTGAAATCCTCAGACAAGTCATTTCAAAGAAAGGAATGTATAACAGAGATGAATTGTATTGGACAAATATTGCAGATTTAACAGTTGTTGCTGCAGGTATCACACAAGGACATGTTAGTGATAGATTCATGTCTCAACTAACAATCCTTTCTATTCCTGCTCCTACAGACAACATTTTAGGAAAGATTTTCGGAACAATTTTATCTAATTTCTTGAAATCTGCCGAATTTTCAGATAATGTCGTCAAATTATCAGAAGATATTGTTAAGACAAGTGTTATATTCTACAGAAAGATCAAGTCTGAATTGTTGCCAACACCATCTAAAGCACACTACACATTCAACTTGAGAGATGTTTCAAGGGTTTTCAAAGGAATTTGCATGACAAATCCAAATTCACTGTTTGATATGGCAAGTTTCGTTAAATTGTGGTTCCACGAAAGCCTGAGAGTTTATGGCGATAGATTAGTTGATAACAAAGATAGAGAGCACTTCCAGCAGATACTTTATGATACTGCCAAGCAAAATCTTTATCTCAAAGAAGATATTGGTCATTACTTTGGCGAATCTCCATTGATTTGGACTGATGTTTTGAAGGGATATGGATATGAAGGAAAACTGAATTACACGGAATCTTTATCCATTCAACAAGTTACGAATGCATTAAGTACGTTCTCTGCTACATACAGAACACCAATTGTACTATTCAAAGAAGCAATGCAACACGCATTAAGACTTGTCAGAGTTTTAAGACAACCATACGGCCATGCATTGTTAGTTGGTATGGGAAGTACTGGTAAGCGAACAATTGCAAGATTTGCAGCGCATGTTGCAAGAATGGATATCTTTGAACCACAGCCAATGAAAGGATATGATATCACTCAATTCAGAAATGATTTGAGAGGATTGTTCAAGACAGCAGGTGCACAAGATAAACCAATAATGTTTTTGTTGACTGATGATCAAATCGTCAGCGAAACATTCTTAGAAGATATTAACAATGTTTTGAATACAGGTGAAGTTCCTGGTTTGTTCCAAACAGAAGAATACGATCAAATGGTCAATGATTTGATACCTTTGATGAAGAAACTTGGTGAATCCCCAGCTTATGATTCATTATGTCGCAAATTCAGCTCAAACATCATGAAGAACTTACATGTTGTTTTAGCTTTGAGCCCTGTTGGAGGAAGATTTAGAGACAGAGTTCGAGTTTTCCCAAGTTTAGTTTCATGCTGCACAATTGATTGGTATGATTCATGGCCATCAGAAGCACTTAATCATATTGCAAATGAATTCCTTTCTAAAATGGATTTGTCAACATATGGAGATGTCAAGAAGACAATTGCAGATATGGCAACTTATGCTCATACATTGTGCTTGGATTATTCAGGAAAATTCTTGAGAGAGCTCAATAGAATGTACTATGTAACTCCTGCTGTTTACATTGAATTCTTTAACTTGTTCACAACAATGCTGGAGAAAAGAAGTGCAAGTTTGATGCAAGAAAAAGAACAGTTAGAAAAAGGTGTCGAAAAATTACAAGAAACAAATGAAAAAGTCCAGGAAATGGAAGCTCAATTAACTAAACTTAGACCACAATTACAAGAGAAGGCTGTTAAAACAGAGCAATTGTTGGCGACATTACAAGTTGATCGTGAAAAAGTCAATGAAGTTCATAGAGTTATTTCAGCTGAAGAAGAAACAGTCAAGAAAGTACAACAAAAAGCTGCTAAACTTGCTCAAGAAGCAGAAGTTGATCTTGCTAAAGCAATGCCTTTCTTGGAGAACGCAAAAGCTGCAGTTGAAGATCTCAAAAACAGAAAGTCGGATTTGGCTGTTGTCAAATCTTTCGTAAAACCACCACAGTTAGTTATTGAAGTCATGGAAGCTGTTTGCTTGATTCTTGGTGAACAACCCGATTGGTCAACAGCTAAAACATTACTTGCAGGTGCAAACTTCTTGAACAGATTGTTGGATGTCAACAAAAACGCAATTCCAGAACAAGTTTTGATGAAAATCAGAGTTATGGAAGCAGATCCTCGATTCGAAATGAAGAAAGTTATTGCTGTCAGTGAATCTGCTGCTTGTTTGTTCAAATGGGTAACTGCTATCGAAAAATACGTCACAGAATACGCAAATGTCCGACCAAAGCAGTTGAAATTAGAAGCAGCAAACGAAGCCAAAGAAAAAGCAGAAGCAAACTTGGCAGTCAAACAAAAGCAATTGCAAGAAATTACAGAGAAACTGACAAACTTGCAACAGCAATACGATGATAGTAGATTGGAGCAGAAGGAATTGGCAAAGAATATCGAACAATGCGAATACAGACTCAAAAACGCATCTCAGTTGACATCAGCTCTTGATAGTGAAAGAGTCAGATGGTCTGAGAGTTTAGTTGAAGTTGGAAAGCGAGAAAAGTGTTTGCTTGGTGATACAATTCTAATTGCTCTTCATGTTGCTTATATTGGACCTTTCTCTTATCCATACAGACAAGCAATTCTGCAAGATTTGCAAGCTAAATTCAAAGAAGTTGGAGTTCCTATCACAGAGAACTTTTCATTGGAGGGTGTTGCATCATCACCATTGCAATTAAGAGAATGGCAAATCCAAGGATTACCACAAGACTCACTCAGTAATCAGAATGGTGTTTTAGTCACAAGTACAAGAAGATGGCCTCTTATGATTGATCCACAAGGTCAAGGAAGGAAATGGATTATTGGACAAGGAAATGTTAAAATCATCAGAACAGCAGAATCTAATTACGCTCAATCAATTGAAAACGCCATTAGATTGGGTTCTTCCATCTTCGTTGAAGATATCACGGAACAGATTGATGGTGGATTGCAGTTCATCATTAATCCGAAGATGAAGAAACAAGGTGGAAGATCAGCAATTAGAATTGGCGATAAATGGGTTGATTATGATCCAAACTTCAAACTTTATATGACGACAAGGTTGTCAAATCCTCAATTCTTGCCTGATGTTTTCATCCAACTTTCTGTAATTAACTTCTCTGTTACTCATGAAGGTTTAGAAGAGCAGTTGTTGTCTGATGTTGTTCTTCACGAAATGCCAGAATTAGAAAAGCAAAGGTCTCAGTTGATTGTCGATATTTCAAAGGATCAAAAGGCGCTTCAAGGATTAATGCAACAAATCTTGAATTTGCTGTTCACATCAACAGGAAACATTCTTGATAACGAAACACTTATCAAGACACTTCATGACGCTAAAGACACATCCAAACAAGTTTCTGCTCGTTTGGCTGAAGCAGAGAAGACAGAGAAAGAAATCACCGAGAAAAGAGAAGTTTACAGATGTGTTGCAACAAGAGGTTCTTTGTTGTATTTCGTTATATTAGAGTTGTCTGGTATCGACAACATGTATCAGTATTCATTAGAGTTCTTCAAGCGAATATTCAAGAACGTTCTAGATTCAGCACAACCATCAGAAGATTACAAAGGAAAATGCGACTATTTCATCAACAGAATCACAAAATCAAGTTTCTTGAATGTTTCAAGAGGTTTATTTGCTAACCACAGATTAGTTTTCTCATTCTTGATTGCAGTTGCTTTGTTGAAGTCAACAGGAAAGATAACAGAAGAAGAATGGCGAGTTTTCGTCAGAGGACCACCAACAGCACCTTTAGAAGTATTTCCAGCTAAACCAGATAATGTCACAGAAAGAGTTTGGCAAGGAATTTGCAATTTGTCACAAACAGATGCAGTTTTCTCAGGAATTCCTCAAGAAGTTATTTCTAATTATGACAAATGGAAACCATTCATAGAAGATGAAGACATGTTACCTCCAGAGCCTTTCACGGGCTTATCTGCTTTCACTCATGTTATTATGTGTCTCTGTATGTGCAAGCGTAAATTGGCAGCAATGGCAAGAATGTTAGTTCAATCAACATTAGGCGAAACATTTGTTTCACAAACGATTGCTGATCTCTCTGGTCCATTTGATGATACATCAAACGATACACCTCTGTTATTCATTTTGTCACAAGGTGCTGATCCAAGAGATTCATTGGAAAGACTTGCTAAATCTCATGGCGTGTCTCAAAAACTTTCAATTCTTTCATTGGGCCAAGGAAGAGGTCCAACAGCAACAAGTTTGATCCAAAACGCGAAAGTTGCTGGAGATTGGGTTTTCTTACAAAACTGTCATTTGTGTCCATCTTTCTTGCCAAATTTGGAGCAATTAGTCCAAGAAATGGCAAGAACATCATCGAAATACAGTCAACAGTTCAGACTGTTCCTTTCATCAATGCCAACTGATGTTTTTCCAATTTCAATATTGCGAAACTCTGTGAAAGTCACATCAGAACCTCCAAGAGGCATCAAATCCGAAACAGCGAACTTGTTACAAACATTGACAAGTGAAGACTTTGAAAGATCGAAGCATATCAGACCATTTAAGAAACTTGTTTATTCACTTGCATTGTTCCATTCAACAATCCAAGAAAGAAAACAATATGGAGCATTAGGCTTCAACAAAGTTTACGAATGGTCCACGAGTGATTTCCAAATTGCAACAATGATGTTGAGGAATTTCGTCAGTGATTACGATGAAGTTCCATGGTCAGCATTATTGTCAACAGTTGGCGATGTTGTCTATGGTGGCCGTGTCACAGATGACTGGGATAGAAGATGCATGAATACAATGTTGAAGAAGTTCATTTGCGAGCAAGCAACAATGGACAACATTTACTTCGATCCATTAGGTCATTACGCTTCTCCACCATTAGAAAACCTTGAAAAAACAATTGAATTCACCAATGGAATGCCAGATGTTGATATCCCAGACATCTTTGGTTTGCATTCTAGTGCACAGCACACATTGGATTTGAACAGATCAGATACATTACATGGCTTAGTTGTCTCTGTCCAACCTAAAGACAGTAACAGTGCAGCAGCTTCTAAAGATGATGAAATTGTTTTGGACATGGCAGAAAAGTTTGATACACAATTGCCATTCGAAATCAATTTGAAGAATGCAGATGAAGCACTTATGGAATCCCTTAATCCTAAAGAAGGAAGACCTAATTCATTATCAGTTGTGTTGATGCAGGAAGTTGATAGATTCAATAATCTATTGAAATTGATTCATTCTTCACTCAAACAAGTCAGTAAAGCAATCAAAGGTGAAGTTGTTATGACTGTTGATATACAGAAGACATATCGATCTTTGTTGGAAGGCAAAGTTCCTCATGAATGGTCGTCAAAGGCTTATCCTTCAACAAAACCAATTCATTCATGGTTCAAAGATTTGCTTGAAAAAGTTGGATTTATCCAGCACTGGGTTTCCAAAGGACAGCCAACAGTTTTCTGGTTCCCAGGATTCTTCTTCCCACAAAGTTTCTTAACTGCTGTATTGCAGAGCCACTCAAGAAAGCACAAATTGCCAATTGATGCTTTATCTTTCAAAGCAGAAGTCATTGAAAGAGATCCCGATACAATTGTCCAGCCTCCAGAAGATGGTGTTTATATTCAAGGTTTGTTCTTCGACGGATGCAGATGGGATAGCGACGAAGCTTCCCTCGCAGATGTTTCAGCAAATGTTGAATACTCTAAATGCCCTGTTTTACACCTTATACCTACAACAGAACATGTCGAAGAGAATACGGAAGATTATATGTGTCCAGTCTACAGAACAAGTGAAAGAGCAGGTGTTTTGTCAACAACTGGCCACTCTACAAACTTTGTTGTTGCATTGAATATTCCATCCGCAGTTCTTCCTGACAAATGGATTCTCCGTGGTGCTGCTCTTCTTACAGCAACGCCATACTAATTGATTATATATTAATTATGGATTTTTATTTTTATGTTATTTTAAAAATTAATTGTTTTGTTTTGATATCAATTTGATTGATTTTGTTTTGATTTCTTCAATTGTATATTGAACGATTAGAATTCAGTAGTTCATCTAGGAATTCGAGTTTTAAATCGTCAAAAGATTCTTCACAAATTGTAGGTATTTTAGATTTTGGCAATAGTAAATTTCTAAGATTGTTTGTTAATCAACAATAAACGAGAAAGAATCGAATTTGCAAATTTCAAAAGATAAGCTTAGTGATCCATAAAATTTAATCACAACAATGTTATATTGTTTTCCTATTAACCTAAGGAATGATATCTTAAGAAAATTATCTAAAATAGAATGTGAAAGGAGCTAAAATATAAAAATAGCCCAAACAAATAAAAAATAAATGAATTTTATTTGATAAAACATACATGTATATATCTATAAATCGCACATCGGGAAAATGTGTCTGAATGAGATAACTTTCTCTCTGCATTCAGGGCATTTCCTTCCCTCGCTCCAAAGCCTCATCGCGCACGCGTAGCAGATGTTCAAATGGCCGCATGGGAAAAGAATTGTGTCATGAGGTCCGTAACAAATGAGGCATTGGCCGGAATCGAAAGCCTTCGTACTTTTCTGAATGGCCGATGAGCAGAGAGGACAAAATTGCTCGTTTTTGGCACATTCTTCACAAAATACGCAATGTCCGCACGGAGAAAGGTAAACTTCGGCTTGGTGCTGTTTGCATTTGAAGCACATTGGCTTTGGAGACCCAACGGCGCTGAATCCTGGCTGATCTGTCAATTCATCAACATCTATTGGTTCAAATGGTTCAGATTTAACGTCATCGAGCTTAATGGATTTATTACTTAATACAATCTTACCAGAATTAACGATAACTTCGTCCATGGAGTCAGATTTTGTAATATTATTTGGATCTTCTAAATCTATAGCTTTTTCATCAATTTCATCACCAAGAATTGACTTCTCATCGAAGCAGTCGCATTGTTGCTTCTCTGGTTCGTTTGTTTCTTGCTTTTCTTCTATGATTTTATGATTCTCCTTTGGAATTTGTTCGGAAACGTGGGTTAGCAGATCTTTAAGAATTTCTGAACTGTGGTTATCCTTTTTCTGAGCCAGTGGCAAACTCTTTTGAGGATCATAGTCAGATCTCTTTAAAGAGTCAGTAATTACGTCAATAACATCACGAGGAACGCTTGACAATGAGGCCGGCGGCATACTGACAGGGTTGAGGGTTTTTAATTTCTTATTCCTGGAAATTATCATTTCCCCGGACTTGATATCACTCAAGCCTGTTTGTTTTGGTAATGATTCGAGTATTACTTTATCGGTTTCTTGTTTTAAGGCCACGTTAGTGACAAATTCGTATTTGGCGCCATATTCTCTTGAAATCGACATTCCTGGCTCGATGTAGTTATTTCTAAATGTGCTGGTCGAATGGAGGAATAGTTTAGCGAATAATTCGCATCCTTTGACTTTATTATATTCCGCGATAATTTTTGCACCGTTGTAAATGGAAAATGCTGCTCCTGCGAACTGCGATATGTTACAGTTCCTCACAAGAGCGCAAGCGAAGTCAGAAATCGAGAAGCAATGGGATTTTCCATTTGAAAAATCCAAATTTTCGAAAACTGGAATCGCACAGTCCCTTGCAATGGCTGCAAATGTATTAAATTTCGTAATCTTGCAGTTATTAATATCTGGGCGAGCGTTTGGCCCAAAAACAGCGAATATTGGGTATTGAAAATCTTCGAAATTTGAATTTGATACGTATCCGTTCGAATGTTCGAAATTTACGCCATTCCCCTTGCATCTAATGAAGCTAGAGTTTTCAACAGATAAAAAGCAGTTCTTTATTCCGTGAACTGCCGAATAATTTATCGTATCAAATGAACAATCGGAAACGTTTGCAATCGATGTCTCCGCGAGACTTATAGCGCCACCTAGGCATTTATTAAATCTGCATTTAGAAAATCTCGAATTTCCTTCGTATAAAATAAAAACTGCTTTTCCGGCCATATCTCTGAAAGAACACTCTGTAAATGTGGTGGATGACTTTCTATAGACGTATACAGCAAACCTGTTCGCGCCTTTGAAATTGGTACGAGTAATTTCCGCACTCGAAGAATCTAAAAGAAGTAATGAAGAATGAGCATTTTTTTCAAACGTGCAATCAATAATTTCTGTCTTAGATCGGTCTCGTACAAGTAAAGCGGACTTAGAAGCATTATGAAAAGTACAATTTGTGAATTTTGATGAAGATTGAGCAAAAACTTCTACTACTGATTCGCGATCAGAATCGGAAGACTCAAATGTGCAATTTTTTGCATGGATGCTTCCCTTCGCTGTTACTTGTAATAATCCAGAAAATCTAATTCCTTTCATTTTAACATTTGCCACGCTAATCGTAACCCAGGAAAGGCATACTCTATAATTATCTAAAGATAGAAGCTTTGTGTTGAATCTTATATATGTTGCTTCTTGTATTTGAATTTCTTTCGAGAATTTGCGCCATACTTTACCTTTGTCATCAGTGTAGTCATCTGTGACTGTTAGAAAAACATTAACTGGTTCAGACATGGCGAATTAGTAGAATTATATTTTCAAAATTTTCCCGGGGGGTTTTTTTCTATCGTTTTCATAGAGTTAATTTTTTTTTTTCTAAGAAAAGATTTGATATCATTTTGCCTATAATTTATTTGCTGATTCCTTTTATAATTTCCATATGTTTGTTCATTCTGGCAACGAATTCCCTTGCGATATCCTATATTCCCGTTCAAACAGATTTTTTTGAAATCTAATCGTCATCGAATTGCTATATTGCTATATAATATAACATCAGTTACTTATGTTATATATAAAAACTAGGACTATTATTGATTATTTATAATTGATCAAGCAAAATTTCAAATTTTCAAAAATTTCTTCCATTTTTGAGAATGAGTGAGTAATGAATATTTAAAATTACCATTTTACTGTATGATCTTGCATGGATTGATATCGAAATCAAGAATTAATATTGAAGAATAAAAATATTCAAGATTTTCAAATTTGATATTGTTAAAAGATACAACGCTAATGACTTTTTAAAAATGTTTATAGCTAATAGACAAAAAAAATTTATAAATTCACAAACAAGAAAATAAAATTAAATAAAATCTATTCAAAAGCCTGAGATAACTGATCTAAATACATCGGAGAAGTGTATTTTGGAGATTGAATTCTTGGAGAACGATATGGAGAATTTAATTCTGTCTGTTGGAATTTCATTGGCGAAGCCATATGATTTTCAGCAGGAGACTTAATTATTGGACTCAAATATGGTGCATCTATGTTGATAATTGTTTTTGTTGGTGAAGAATTATCTCGTTTCGGTGTTGAAAAAGTTTTTCTCGGTGATTTTGTAGTGGGAGATTTTCTCGGTGATTTTCTTGGAGATTTTCCGTTGAATAACCGAGTCAATTCATCGAAATAAGTATTTTGGTCGACATTAAGTTTAGTTGAATTTTCTGTAAACATTGAAAGTTCCCTCTTGGATTTGTCAATTTTCTTATCAATTTTCAATCCAAAGGAATCTACTTGTAGTTCAAGCTGTTTGATTCTTATTTCATCGCTTTGCAGAGTAGATTCAAATGTTGTCACTTGGTTCATTAACTGAACACTATTTTCCCTCATTCTCTTTAAAACTTTTTCATTTTCTGCAATTTCTAACTGCTTATCATGCACTCTTTGATGTAATTCATCAATTTGTTTCTTATATTTCTCATTATATATCTTATCTCTTGAAACTGTATAGTTTTCACGCTCAATTTGATATCTCTTATTTTGATAATCAATAAGATCCTTTTTCATTTGGATTATTTCATCAGCAATCACCAATATTTTGCTATTAAGATCTTTATTTTCCTCTAATGTGTTATTTAAATATGTTATTTTTTGTTGCTTTTTTGTATACATGTCTTCTGAAATTCTTCTAACGTCTTCGTATTTTCTTTCTAATTTCTTAAGCTCTGATTTGCGTTTCTTCAACTGGTTTTTCCTTCTTGTGATTGAATCTTGTAAAAATGAAATTTTCTCATCAGCTTCGGCTAATGACTCGTCAATCATGTGAGATCCAAAAACAGGTTCAAATGATGATATGAAGGATGAATTTTGTCTTGGAGATAAAAGTTGTATTGTTGTTTGTTGAAGAAGTTTCATATTTGCTTTCATTTGTGAATTAATAGTTTCTAATTCAATGCATTCATTCAATTCTTTCTGATTTAATTGCTCAAGACTTTCTAACGAATTCTTCTTCATTAAATTTTCTGCCTTTTTTATATCTTCAAGTAAAATATCAATTGACCTAGAGTTGTTATCGTCATATATTGGTTGTCTAATGATTTTTTGAGAGTTTTTCATACGAAGCAAAAGATTTGTTAATTTTGCTTTAAGATCATTGATAATTGATTTATATTTCCGCTCCTTATTATACAATTCGATTAAATCTTGTTTTGCAAAAAGGTATTGCGCTGAATAATTTCCCGTTTTCAATAAAAATTCTGTTTCTTCTCGATCAAATTCTTTAACAATCTGTTCTAGCTTCTCTGTCTTTTTATAAGAGTCATATCGGTAAAAGTTATCCTTGGTATGATATGAATCAATCATAATGGTAAACGACAAAGAAGAAAAATTTTGGGGACTTTATGGGGTAAGACCCCAAAATATAGAAAAGATCTCTAAATAAGTTTATTTTATGAAACAAAAATAACATCGGATGTTAGTACATGCATATCAGCACATAATTAAGTTAGATTAACATAAATCTTGTATGCAATATGCGAATTGCTTCATTGTACAGAAATAATACTTGACATGATAATTTTGTAGGTAATAATTAGATATATGAATTATACAGATTTCGTTTTTAATTTATATAACAAACAATTTGCTGCCAAAGCTGATAAAATAGAACAATAATAGGTCCTAAGACGTTAATAATGCCGCATACAGCCATTAGGATATATAACGATTTAGGAATCAAATCATTTTGAATTTTTCGCCTAATAAAAATTAAAGTAATAGATAAGTAAAGCATGCAAATCTGGGAAAATAAAACCACATATGCAGCAGCGTTGAATAGGTAAATCGAGCTCTTCTTTAATGGATTGTTATGATCTAAAGATTTAAGTAGATAGCATATTACAGCTGCGATAGTCATTAACATCCAGCATGCTACGAAGCAATAATTCTTGTTTCTGAGTGATTTGAAGCTTTCTTTAGTTTCTTGGACAACTAAGTTATATCTACGTAAAATAAAGTAATAGAATATGAGGCCAGCAGCTTCTAATGCAAAGCCAATGGTGTATAAGATTGAAAATATGCTAATACTAAATGGGTCGTAAAAATACATTAAAATTTATTACCGTACGATAAAAAATTTTTTTATTTTCTAATTTTTCTTCCGTGTTTATAATTGAATTCTTTCAATTTTTAACGGTGTGACGGAATATATTTAAAATACGATTATAAATCTTATTGGGGGTTATAAAACTCTTCTTTATATTAATCTTAACCTAGTCAGCATTTTGTACAATTGCTTTATGCATGGCGCAGCGATTAAACAATGATTCGGCTTGCTACAATATACTTAAGGTACCATTCGATTTGCAGAAAAGAATTAAGTTTAAGTTATGTACCATTACCACAGATATGCTAGAATGTAGCTTTAGAAAAATCATTTATCGAAATCTCAATAAGAAAGATGATAAGATATATATTTTACCAGATAAATTTATTATGTAACTGGATAACACTTCACATGTTGAAAGGGAACATGTGTGCATATTAATGCTATATAGAGAAGTTAATGGATTCATACTAAACTATATTTTTGAATTTTATTGTTTCGTGGAATTTAAGGGTGCACACGAGAGGATCATGTAAACTTCAGAATTTAGAACCTTATTTTTAGGCATTATCTTGGCTACCTATTTAGGCTCGAAAAGCAAAAAATATCAAAAAATACAACTTGACTCCATTATGACCCTTTCATGGAGGTAGTTTTTATCCGCTAGTATTTTCCCTTTGAATCTCTTTACAATTCGAAATCAAATTCAAACCTCAGTAGAAGAAAGGAAGAATCGACTTACTACGGTTGTAATACGAATAAATACATATATTTAATTATTTTTATTTACATAATAATTGTTTGAAGCTCATATTCCAACAAATTTTTAAATAAAAACATTAAAATGTTGAAAATGTTCATATATTTTAATAGGGTTTTGGCACTTTATTGAGGAATTACTACATACATAGTCGAACTGAACTTGATATTTTGAAATTTAAATTATTTATCAAAATTAAAATTTAACTTGAAATTTATAATTATTTAGTCATATTTTGCATAATTCTAAGTAGATTTTGTAAAAAATCAAGAAAGAAAAATTTTAACGTGCATTATTTTTTCTTTTTTATAATAATACACATTATTATATAATTAACATATTCATAATGTTTCACCCTTTCAAAAATATAATCCTCCTCCTCTCAAATAAACGTACATACGGGTGGCCTCTTTTTTCAAAAAATTAAAATTTGAAATTTTTTGCTCAAATATTAGAGATTTTTTCAACCTTCAACGATATATGTTGTCTATATCAGACCTCCTTTCTTTTTGATACTTAACATTGTTCCTAAATCTTAGCCGTTAAGGCTGTTCTGAAAATGTTTTTTTTTCGAAAAAATTCGAAAAAAATTCTTAAAATTCAAAAATCCCTTAATTCCAGAGGATTTTGGAAAAAAGTTTTTACATGAACATGTGTATATTATATGAAGTATATTGATAAGGTAAAAATCAAATTTTATTGCATATTCATCGAGAAAATAAACTAACGAATCCCTCAAAATTGAGAGGGTAATCCTCCTCCTCTCAAATAAACGTACATACGGGTGCACCCTTAAATTTTGAAGTAAAATTAGAACTATGGTACTTTGAGTTTTGCGTTTTAACATGAGATTCTACTTTTATTAGCAATTGATTTGAATCTGTAAATAACATCCGTTCACATTTATTTTAGCTTAATATCTGATGATTGATGATTTCGCATTAATATTAGTTTTTATCAAGTGTTTCAATTTTCAAAGAAACAATCAAATTTATTAGAAATGTTTTATTGGCCAACTAAAGAATTGTATTTACCATATGAATTCGGCAAATCGGTTGGCAACCGAAATTTTGTCAGAAATTCTCCAAAATATTCCTGAACTACTCACATGTTAAAAATGAAGAGTTAAGCTGAGATACTTCATAAAACGCGGATATAAAATAAATTAAAAATATTTCAAATGTAAAGTTATCAATTATTAAAATTCTTCTGAAAAAGTGACAAGAACCCAAGATGTCCCATAAGCTCGTTAAGAAACAAAATATTTCAAATCCATACGATGTTCGGGATGGAATTCATCTCACCATCGATGAAGCTACCGGAAGATATCTGAATGTTCCACGTTGCTTGCTTAATGCAATTCCTCAGGATATTGCCGGTTCAATTATAAACGATGACGAAATTGCTCCTGAACTGCGTCCAACAACAACAGGACGAAATATGATGTACCTTCCAGATTTTCAAAAAAGAGTCAACATTTCAGCTCCATATGAATTAGAACATCTTACACACGTTACTTTCGATCCTCAAAAAGGTTTTGTCGGACTCCCGCCTGAGTGGGATAAAATACTTAAGAAGAGCGGCTTTCAGAAAGAAGAAATTGAAGAAAATCCTAAAGGCGTTCTTGACGTTATGAAGTTTATGCAGAAGCCAATGTCATCATCACCACCATCTCAGGTGGAGGATACAACTACATTACCTCCAATTCAGGAAGTTGTTACTAAAACTAATCCTAAATCTTTCCTCAAAAATATGGAGTCCATCGACGAAGGCAGTACCTGTAAAATTTATCGTGCTGATAATCCTCAAACTGGAGAAGCCGTTGCAGTGAAAGAAATGACATTAACGGATAAAAACAGGCAAACCTTGTTTGATGAAACTCGTTTAATGGCAACGATGTCTCACCCGAACATTATTAAATTCTATTCAGCGCATTTAATAGAGAATACGCTTTGGATTTTGATGGAACTCATGGATGGCGGATCATTGACAAATGTAGCTACATACTGTGACGTTCAAGAACCTCATATTGCATATTTTGCTCGCGAGGTTTTACAAGCCTTAGATTACATGCACAAGCATAACAAAATCCACCGTGATATTAAAACAGATAATGTCTTACTTAAATCGGATGGAGAAGTACGCTTGGCTGACTTCGGTTATACTGCGCAGCTCGAATCTCGAGATCAAACCCGTAAATCAATTGTCGGAACTCCATATTGGATGGCACCAGAACTAATCAAATACCAACCATACTCGTACGGTGTTGATATTTGGTCCCTTGGAATTATGTGTAGAGAATTAGCAGAAGGAGAGCCTCCTTATGTTGATTCACCTCCAATGAGAGCTTTGTTCCTCATTTCTACAAAAGGAATTCCTCCGATTTCGGATAGAGAAAATAGATCAACCGAGTTCCTCGATTTCCTTGATCTCTGCCTTAGTATGGACCCTCATGCAAGACCATCAGCAGAAACGCTACTCCAACACCCATTCATTACGCGTGCATGCGATAGGAAATATATTGTCCCGCTTATAGAATTAGCTAAGCAACTTGCTGCCCAAGAAGAATTTGATGATTTTTGAAAAATGCTGTTTTGATTTTGCTATAATAATATTCAGTAAATGTTCATATATCATGATTCATTCAACCATACTATCTTGTTTTTCTTTATAATTATTTAAAAAAATTGAAAAATATCAAAAACATAAGATATTTCATCAATGATCTGATCTATCAAGAGAGACTAATCTTTAAATTATTTGCAGACAATCAAATTGATGAAATATTTTTCTCTAGAATATGAAATTGAAGTCATATTTATTCATTGTATCATGAATTTTATCTCAAATAAGTTAATCTAGTCTAAATATCAAGGATAAATTATCTCATATAAAATACAAAAAAAAATTCAAATTAGAATGCAATATTATCTAATTCTAGATAAGTTGTCATTCTAGAATATGAAGTCAAAATAAAAGTTGTTCTGAAAAGGTGTATTAATTTGGTTATAATGGAAAAAAAAAATATATTTGAATATCAAAAAGAGAAATTTTTGCTGATGATATTAGGGGAATGATATTTGCAAGAAACAAGATATTTTCCTATTCGCAAAACTTCTAATTTTTTTGAATAATCAAATATTGTATTATAAAATGAAATAAACGTTTTTGTATTAAATCTAAACGAATATTTAATCAATTAAAGCTCGAGAGGAGTTACTTTTTGGAAAACAATTAATGTATAATCATCGCCTGGTGAAACAAGAATTTCATAGTTATCTGCACGTATACGAAGGAATGTAAGATCATTTGTAGGATCAAGATCGCGAACCATACAGCGCGCTTTTTCAATTAAAGGTGATAATTTTTCGGCAACTTTATTCTGTTCAAATTGCTTAAGAGCAGCATGTGTAACTTTATTTTTTCCATCTAAAACAAGAATGCCGTCAACACTTTTGTTTCCGACAATTCTCTTTAATGTCTGATCTACTTCGGACATAATTTTGTAGAATCCGTTTCTTGAGGAAAAGTGACAAAAAGGATTTCACCCAAATGTTTATATTCATTTAGTGATGCCCATATTTACTAATGTAGATGGTTAGGTTCTTTTAAAATTCAATCTAAAATTCCTATTTGGTTGAGATTGAATAGAGGATATGAGAAGAATTGTAAATATCGTATATATTAGAATGAAGAATTTTCCAAAACAAGTAATGTATTTGATAATCATGGTTCAAACCATCTGTTACGTTTTAGAATTCCAAAAAATAATTGACCAAAATGTAATAGATTAAGAATTATAATGTAGAGTTGTTTATGTATATAAAAACAAGTAGTATAATATATTATTCAGTCTTCTTTGTGATTGGCATGGAATAGATATAGGCATCTCCAACTTCCAAAGCTTTATAATAGCCTGGAAGGAATTCTTTCCTAGTAAATCCAAATTTTTCATAGAATTTCATGGCAACTTCGTTACTGTATAAAACATGAAGAAAAATTTCGTCAATATCTTTGCTTTCATCAATAATATGTTGTAATAGCTTCTTTGCAATGCCACGGCGTTGATATGTGTGTAAAACGCCAATGGTCATTAAATAAATTTTGTGTATTTTTGGATCTTTTTCATCTTCTTCAATACGCCAGCAAATTTCACCAATTGGAAGATCGTCGTTTAAGTAAACAAGCAAACCGCGAGCAATTTTTCCTTCTTCAAACATTTTGTAAATGTGGCGACCATAATGGACAGGGAGTGTCTCACGGTGGATCCTTCGTAGAAGTCCAACGTTGTTTTTATCTACTGGGATGTAACTTAAATTGAATGGCTGGTTCTCGCTCATTTCTAAAAGTGACAAATTTTCATCTCTAAAGGATGGTTTCCTTATATTGAAGGATTTGAAAGCTGATTCCTTAAGATTGATTTAAAAATTAGGATTAATGTGTTCACTGGTAAAGGATGGAGCTTCAAAATAACGTTTCGTGGAAATTACATATTGAGTGATCTTATTTATTTCATTTTAGAATATTTTCGCATATTTCTGCATGAAAATAGCATTGTCATATAGCTAAGAATTTATTAATAAATCTGAAAAATTATATATTTATTAAATCAGTATATTGATAATTTAATCAAGCAAAAAGAAATAATTAATAAATTATAATATTGCTACCGTTTTGAAATCTGTATTTTCCATCTTGGTCATTAAGAAAACTAAATTTGAACTGTTTTTATGATTTTTTTATACAAAATAATAAGAAAATGGAATTATTCATATGAAAAAGCAATGCGATCTAACTCATTTTATGAATTTTTGAAAAAGAAGGATTTCTCAATATGAGGGTAGAAACAATAGTAGAAGCCAAATAACGAGATTCAATGATCAAATATGAAAAATAGGATTCTTATACTAGATTTTGTCAAAATATGCATAGTATCAAGAAAGCAACTTATGATATAGTATAAATATCCTGCATGTACCGCAACGAATTCAATTGATCCCGAAAATATCAAAATTAGATTTCAAAAATAAAACCCTGTTCTCATACAGTTGCACGAAGCAACACATAAATCCAGCTAATCAGATACAGATAAGTTTAGTATTAATCCCAACGGGAATTTCGCTTTTGAACTGATTTTTCTGACAATTTGACATATAAAAAATGTACCCTTGGTTAGAGCAGTTGAACACAGTACAGGGTACAAAACTTACTAATTATAGAGATCCTCCATTTGGATACAGTCCCGAAAGTTCAATGTTCGGATATAATTGCGGATTAATTTTATCTCCAAGGAATACTTACAAGCCAGCGTATCAAATATATACGAATTCATGTAAAGAAGTCTTTAAAACAGCATATTTTGATTTAGATTCACCAATTGTTCTTTCTGCTTTTACATCAAATTCAATTATCGTATTTTTATTGAAGAATGGTACTATTGCGGCTTACAAACCTAATGGAAAACAAGTATATTTACGAAAAGAATTAAACTTCGAAGTTATATGCGCTTCACAAAATTATTTGGGAATTGTTTACGTACTTAACAACATGAATTTACAATTTTTCAGTTTTGATAGGATGGAAGTTACAATAGACCAACAAATTAACGATCCACCTCAGTATTGCGTTTTACAAAATATTGAAAACGGTGTTTTCCTTTTTTCTTCAAATGGAGAAGTGTATTTCAAGACGCAACAGAATCTGACAAGTATATTCAAAGTAGAAAACGAACATATTACCAATATTATCGCAGGAATTAACAATCCAAGAATTGCGATCTTTACAAACAAAAAAATTTACATTAAACAAGCATATCCATCACATAAGGACATTATTGAACACCAATTTGACTTGGTTGGAAAAGAAGGAGCTTGGTTAAATCCAAATACCTTAATTGCTTCACTTAATAATGGAGAATTATGTATTTTTCACAATGGTGTTGCTGACTTTAATCCATCATGCAAAGTTCTTAAGATTTTTTCTGATTTAAATTTAGTTAGATTATATTCAACGGAAGGACTTTATATTTATTACAATCCACCCGCATCTATTGAAAGTCTAAACAATGAGATATGTAAAAGCGTCGTAAGAGACTTCAAAAACTATGAAAGCAAAAATATTGATTTTATCCAAAATATGAATAAGAATTATGTAAAAGCTATACCTCTTTTCATTCAAGCAGCTCGAGATTCACCATTAATATCAACCCAAATGTTCTACATGAGCGTTGCTTCGTTCTTAAGATCAAATTACCCAAATATCTGCGCAAATGAGTTCAAATCAGCCATAGATTTCTTAAGGATACTCAATACTCTCAATAGTGACCAAGTTGGAATGTGTTTCACCCCTGAAGTTCTGCAAAATTGCTCCGAACAATTATTCGAACGATTATCGAATTTACAACTATACAAAATTTGTGAATACATTTCTGACTTTTTGGGAGTTCCCCATGACAAAATTGCCGAAGAATGGGTACTTAATGAGATACAGACAAACGGTACTAAGAATTTAGAAGAAATAACTCAAATGCTCCATAAATATTCGAATATTAATTTCCACGAAGTAATTCAATGTTGTGTCGACAAGAAGCTAAGTCAATACAATATAGTAACTATGGTAAATAGCATCAAAAGCCCAGTTCAGAAGATTATTTTGCTAAATCCGTTGTATCGCACAAAAGCAAGGGAAACAGCCCTTGTTTCTGATGATGGATGTGCCATTATATGCTATTTACTAAAGGATGAGGAGCAAAACTTGCAATTAGACCTCAGAACTCCGTTATTAAGTATAAATTATTTTTCATTTGCAAGATATAGAGTGTCTCAGCATTTGAAGAGAGAAAGTAAGTCAGTCATCATCCAATCCATGGAAAGATTAATCAGATCTGAAGAAACAAATAAACAATTTCTCGAAATTTTGACGTCATCTTCATTCGAGAAAAATGAGTATGGCAAGAACACGAATATACTCCTTTATATTATGAATAACATGGAAATGTCCAAGTTTGGCGAATATATTGGTCATCAAAATTATATCATTACAATTTTAGGAAATCTTGCACCAGCAGGCGACACATTATCTCCTAGACAGTTTATTAATGCTTGTTATGCCAACAATAAGGCCGAAGTCGCCGAAAAAATTGCTCATAAAGTTAATATGAGTCCTCCTGAAGTAGAATACTCAAGATTACGTTCTGTGATCAAGAACAAGAGCAATGATATGTTTGATAAGTTAATACGAGAAGGATTTAAGCATTTGCAGCCTGATGACGTTATGAACATGATTTTATTTTACAGATGCGAAGATCTTGCCACAAGATATCTCAATATGCTTAATATGCAACAAAAAACAAAACTTCTTGACGAAGCTTTGAATTATTCTTATAAAATTAAGGATAAAAGAATGATTGATGCATTTGAGAACTATAAGAATATGTTTATGCAAAGAGTGTAATATTTAATATTATTTGTTTTATAAATGTTTGAATTTATTATTCAATTTTTTTTTTCATCAACATATGCAGTTTCCATGCTAAATATAATTACATGTATGGTGGCCGTTTCTGGTTGATAAACCCAAAATCTGAGAAAGGTTCTTGGGGAAAAAAATAATCTTGTAAAAAAAAAATGAAAAAATGAAAAAAATTTTATTACCATAAAAACCAGATTTTTTACCTCGGGGTATGTTTCCCAGCACTTTCCCACCAGAACCGGCCACTATATTACATGCTGTTGATAACAATTGTATCTTAGATATTTATGATCAAATGTTCAACTGGCATCACATATTATTAATACTGTCAATTTTTTTTACAGGCGATCTAAAAGATTGGCCTATAGTCTCTTATTTATTTCATAAGGTTATCAACTTAAGCGCTTTATAAACTAATCTATTAAAGCATTTGGATGTATTTTTTTCCCTCATTCAATGATTTGAAAGAATTTTATCTTGCAGTTTATATACATGTTTCATTTTTCACATGTTCAACAAAGTATTTTCCCCCTCCAATTGAATTAAAATGACATTTTATGTGATAAAAAGCTGATTTAAATTTTTTGGTGGTAATTTTTTTTCAATTTTTTCATGTCGAATCCAGACATTCACACCAACAAACACAGTGAATTGATAAGCATATATAAGTATCATAATGATTTATATATTACGTTGTATCAACTAAAAACTGAAAATGAGGAAGAATTGAACTCGATTTACAAAATGATCAAAACGGAATTTATTAATTCGAAGAAATATAATCCTCAAAATTTTATAAGAGATATTTTAAGGATTATTCCGTCGAATGACCGCTATACAAAGTCATATTTGACTCTTGCAAGACTTATTTCTGAGGATTATCATATAACAGAAGTCAACTTTATTCCAACCATTTCTAATTATATGTTTTATAAAGTATACGGGATTAAGTTAGACAAATCTGATGATTTCAATGAAATTCAAACAACCGATCTCGATATTCTTTCAGAAAATACAATATACGGAACAATTATGTATGATGACAAAGAAAGATTCATTTCATTCATAGAAAGAGATGGATTTGATAAAGATCAAAAACTTAAAAACTATTTATATCCATATACTAACCTTATATGTACCACTTACTCAAATTTTTTGACACTTATGCTTTATATCCTAATTTTCTATGATAAAAAGTTAATATTTATAATAGGGAAAGTTTTTATAATTCACTACCTAGCACCTCATATGAGAGCATGTCAGAAAGTGGTAAGTGCACCCTTAATGAATGATTTACAATTTCTGGTAATCTCCCAATTTTTTTTGACATATCCCAATTATCTTCAGATAAAAAGATAATAATTCTGTGAGATTTTTCCTTGGATTTTTAAAGTGGTATGATAGAAATACTCACATTTAGATTTTTCACTCAATATCTGAGAGCTGTTACTTGAAGATAAATCATAAATAATTTAGTTGATATCTTTTAATATGTTTTAAGTGCAGAATTAAGCAAATTTAGAATTTTGATTTTGCAATATTCATATTTAGAGATCCAAAATCTTTGCATAGCATTTTTTGATGAAAACAATTATATATGTATCAAAAAAATTAAAATGTGCATTTACTCCTTTCAAACAAAAAAAAATTTATCATAATGTTTGGGAAAACTTCATTATCTTTAGGTAAAAAAGCTGTTTATGGACCAACTGTAGAGGAAGGAATGCTGATACAGGACTTGGAAGTTGAAGCGAGAAATATATTAATCGATACATACAATAATGCAGTAAATTTATTTGCAAAAGAAAAACCAATTGATGGATTAGATTCATTTGGAAAGAAAATCACTGATTTATATGATGACGTAAACAGATCAATCAATCATACGCTTTTACATCTCGCAAATGAAATTGATCACGGAAATTCAATGATTAAAGAAGCCCGTGACGAATTAGACACATTTCATCGTGACTACACAGACTCTCTCCATTCTCAGACATTCCCATCTCCATTTATTTCTCGTTTCACTGATAATCTTCAGCAAAGATCTAAAAATCTTTCAGAAGCTATCACATCATATGAAACTAAATTGCAAAACAATGAACAAGCCGAAAGCCCAGCTGTTTTAGTTCAAGTTTTACAAGAACAATATAATGCTATAATCAGATGCTCGGCCAGAGTCTCGGAAATCCAGCGCAAATCACAATCGTTACACGAAACCTTCAAAAGAATTTTCCAGAACAAAGATAGAAAGATATCTGATTTACGTCTAGATTCTGAAGAAAATGGCAAGCAATCAGTAGTCAATTCTGTTCAGACAGCATACGATGAATATCTTGAAGAAAGAAGACGTCTTCTTGAAAAACGCGATACAACAACAGACTTTTCTACAATTTGCGCACCAGACACAAAGGCAGGTGGCTTATTTGGTAAGAGTAAGTTTAGTTTTGGATCAGGTAACAGTTCACTAAATAAAGGAACTTCTGCTCTTTCCAAACCAGCTGGAACATAATAAGAATATGATAGAGTGTTTAATTTCATTATAAAGTATTATTATTTTTAGAGTATTTAAATTTAAGGGTGCACCCGTATGTACGTTTATTTGAGAGGAGGAGGATTACCCTCTCAATTTTGAGGGATTCGTTAGTTTATTTTCTCGATGAATATGCAATAAAATTTGATTTTTACCTTATCAATATACTTCATATAATATACACATGTTCATGTAAAAACTTTTTTCCAAAATCCTCAGGAATTAAGGGATTTTTGAATTTTAAGAATTTTTTTCGAATTTTTTCGAAAAAAAAACATTTTCAGAACAGCCTTAACGGCTAAGATTTAGGAACAATGTTAAGTATCAAAAAGAAAGGAGGTCTGATATAGACAACATATATCGTTGAAGGTTGAAAAAATCTCTAATATTTGAGCAAAAAATTTCAAATTTTAATTTTTTGAAAAAAGAGGCCACCCGTATGTACGTTTATTTGAGAGGAGGAGGATTATATTTTTGAAAGGGTGAAACATTATGAATATGTTAATTATATAATAATATGTATTATTATAAAAAAGAAAAAATAATGCACGTTAAAATTTTTCTTTCTTGATTTTTTACAAAATCTACTTAGAATTATGCAAAATATGACTAAATAATTATAAATTTCAAGTTAAATTTTAATTTTGATAAATAATTTAAATTTCAAAATATCAAGTTCAGTTCGACTATGTATGTAGTAATTCCTCAATAAAGTGCCAAAACCCTATTAAAATATATGAACATTTTCAACATTTTAATGTTTTTATTTAAAAATTTGTTGGAATATGAGCTTCAAACAATTATTATGTAAATAAAAATAATTAAATATATGTATTTATTCGTATTACAACCGTAGTAAGTCGATTCTTCCTTTCTTCTACTGAGGTTTGAATTTGATTTCGAATTGTAAAGAGATTCAAAGGGAAAATACTAGCGGATAAAAACTACCTCCATGAAAGGGTCATAATGGAGTCAAGTTGTATTTTTTGATATTTTTTGCTTTTCGAGCCTAAATAGGTAGCCAAGATAATGCCTAAAAATAAGGTTCTAAATTCTGAAGTTTACATGATCCTCTCGTGTGCACCCTTAAAATGTATCTTTGATCAATTTAATTTTTTTAATATTTTGTAAATCAAAGTTAATGAGATTTCATTATATGGACGATTCTCATGGAAAAGTACCGTGAAACTTTCAGGATTTTTTCCATCAAATTTTTTTCCCCAAATATCTTTCACAGAATTCTAATTTATTAACTAGAAACAACCATTTACATTATTGAAATTTACTTATGCTATTATATATAATTGAAATTTATTAATCTTATAGCGTCCCTATTAATATAAGCATGAAGCTTCCATACAATTGCAAAATTTCTAGATTCATTTATCTCAAACTAATAAAGACCCTATTAATATAGGCATTAAGGCATGATTAAAGAAATATCAGAAGTTAATTAAGCTGTGGATGAATTTATCCATATAAATACATGCTATACAGATGAAGTATAATTGATTGTTACATCCTTGCATCTTGAATTTTATATAAATAATATTTTCCAAAAAAAATTAGAAAAGGAAGTTTTATTAGTAATCACATTCTAATAAGCCAGACATATATGATATGTGTTTGGTGTAATTGCATCGTATAATTACGATTTATCATAAATTTAAAAATATTTTGGAAAAGTTGGAGTTGAAAGTAAACGAAGCAATATATCATTACAACAACTATTATAGATTGAGGTAACAGTATAGATCGATTGATTCTAAAACATTTTTTTTGGAAAAATCGCAAATGAAGGCTAGATTTTCCTCAATATGAACCATTATTGCTAAAAATACATTGCTCTATTATTGGATAATCATTCTAGCTAATAGTTTCCTATGAACAAATATATTATCCCCAGGGATCATTTTGAGGGGATCAAAAAAATTGAAAAGGGATCATATTTTTCGAAATTAATTATACCTAAATATAAATCAGTTTTTTGGCTAAAAATTCAAACTTCAAAATTTTTAGTATTGAAAAAAATTTTTTTTTGAATATTTTTTTTGGATGTCTTGGGAAGTCGAAAGTTCTGATCCTAATTCTCCAATTGAGGAAGTACAGACAGAACAAGACTATCAAAACATGATTTTATGGAGCGCATCTCAACAAGCTGAAGAAGAAGAAAGGAAAGATTTAGATGAGCGCATAGAAGCTGTTAAAGAAGCCATACAAAATGAAGAGTATAGTGGCAAAAACAAGAAAAAGCTCACGGAATTAAAAGGCGAATTAGATACTTTAATACTTCAGAAACAATTACCAGAAACAATTAATGTTACTATTGATAATAACTCTTCGAATACATCTATTGCCATTGACTCAGTGGAAATGGATCTTTCAAATTTTTGGCACTATAAAGTGATGAAAACAGATTACGTTGGCGAAGATGCCATCAATCTTACAAATGATGACTCCGATGAACAAGTCTATCAAGCTAGATTATCTTTTATTGAAAACTTTTGTGATAAATGCACTATATACCATGAAATAGATTCTGGTTTCAAAGTATGGCAGCCCATCTGGCAATCTCTATTTCCCCACCAGCGTGGCGCCATAGATTGGCTATGGGGTCTTTTCAAACAAAAGGCTGGCGGCATAGAAGGTGATGAAATGGGCTTAGGAAAGACTTGTATATGCGCAACATTCATAGCCTCACTTATCCAATGCAACCTTATTAAGAAACCCATACTAATTATGTGTCCGCTCACTGTATGTCAACAATGGATCAGAGAGCTACATATTTGGTGTCCATTTGTCAAATCAATATTATACCATGATACCAGAACAAACAAAAAGATATCTCGCGAAGAAATTCTACGACAAGTTGAAGGAACAACTAATATCATCGTTACAAACTACCAATCAGTGACTTCTCTTAAAGATGACACATCGCTACAGATCATTGATTGGTCCTGCATCATCTGCGATGAAGCACATAACATCAGAAATCACAAAACCGAAATTTCCCAAGTAGTCAAGAAACTTACAGCTGATTTCAGATTGGCTGTTACGGGAAGTCCAATACAGAACGATCTCCTTGAACTTTGGTCGATCTTTGATTTCGCATATCCCGGATTACTCGGTGCCTTCAATGTTTTCCAACAAGAGTTCGCTGATCCAATCAAACAAGGTGGATACGCAAATGCCTCCTCATTTGAAGTTTTTAGAGCGTATTCTTCCGCACAAGCATTACGAGATTTGATCAAACCATATCTTTTGAGACGATTAAAATCTCAAGTCAATGCCAATTTACCTGCAAAGACCGAGCAGATCTTCTTCTGTCAATTAACACAAACACAGATTAATTGTTACGAAGAATTTCTCAAAAGTCCGACAGTCCAAGCGATTTTCAACAACGGAGCAGACATGTTTCCAGGAATGGTCCTTCTCCAAGAGATCTGCAACCATCCGAATATTTTCGATGAACAGAAATATTCGACAAATCCAAAGATGAGTTGCAAAACAAAATTATTGATGAAAATTTTGCCACAATGGCACAAAGAAGGACATCGATGTCTTCTTTTCGCTCAATCTCTCAAGATGCTCTCCATTCTTGAAGAAATCATGACGAATCTCAACCTAGAGTTCTTCAGGATGGATGGAGATACTCCTCCTGAGAGAAGAATAGTGATTATGGATAGATTCAATCACGGTGACAAATTTGCTTGTCTTCTGTCAAAAAAAGTTGGCGGTTTGGGAATAAATTTGACAGGTGCCGATAGAGTGATTATCATTGAGCCAGATTGGAATCCGTCAACAGATGAACAAGCATTGGAAAGAGCTTATCGCATTGGACAGACGAAATCTGTTTCTGTTTATAGATTAATTTGTGTTGGAACAATTGAAGAAAAAATTTACAAGAAACAGATTTTCAAACAAATTCTTTCTAATACTATTATGCAGGATGCCAGACAAAAGAGGTTGTTTAATGCAAATACTGTTTATGATTTGTTTTCTCTTGATTTCGAGTTGGATTCCGAGTTCAACAAAGAAGAAGAAAGACTTGAAGACGACGAAAAAGATGAAGATGAAAATTCAGAAGGAAAAGACAATGAACTCATGAAATCTTTGATAGAAGGTGGAGATATAAGTAAAGTATTTAACCACAATGACTTGCTCCAAAAGGATATTTCTAATGATGATTTGATATCAAAGAGAAAAGCAAATATCGCTGCAACATTAAGTAAAAGAAAACTCAAACATTCCGTAGAAAAGATTGAATTAAAAAATACAAGTGCACACGTTTTGTCTGTAATTAAAAGCCCGTCATCAAGTTTAGATTTGTCTACAATGTCCAATGATTTGATTCTTTATTTCAAAAATCATGGAGGAAAAGTTACAACTGACCTTATATTAAAACACTTCAAACACCAGAAATTCTCTGAAGATGACATGAAGACTATTAAGGAACTACTTAATAAGATATCAGTATTTAATAAGAGAACAAAAATTTGGTACTTAATGAGTAGATATAATTGAATTGATATTTTTTCGTATATTTTAATTTTTTGTTTATTTTTTTGATTTCTTTTTCTAAACAAATTTACGTGTTATAATATTTAGTTATCTTATTTTAACATCTCATGTTTCGTAAACTATATAATAACTTAGACATTCGGAACATAGAGTTAGGAAATTGTCAGTTTTAAAATAATTACTGACTCTTATTACAATTTTTTTTTCGCAGAGATATATTTGTTTTATTTAATCTAAAAATACAAATAATATATACATGGATTCATATAGACACATGCTAGTATAGGATATCACTTCTTAAGCCTTTTCTGTAATGAGATAGTACTACATATTTTTTTCCCCCAATTTAATTGGGAGTTCTTGCAAAATTGAGATATATGGAAATGGATCCTTACCTATAGTAAAATATAAAATAACACAACCAAAAGTTTCAAATTGTAGCATAATTATATTAAAGTAAAGGAGATAAAGCTCCAATCATCTTGAATGAACATTGATATAATCAAAATTAAAAATATAAGCGACTACACTTATTATTATGGATGTAAAGTTTAAAATTGTATTACGACAGACCATATGAGATGCTGTATTAACAATTAATAATGAAAAGAGCAAAAAAGGGATTTAGACTTTGCAATTTAGTATATTTTAAATGATGTTATAATGCCATGCATACCAGATTACATTAATTCTTTTCATGCTTTATTTTGGTGAATTTTTTTTAAACGTACAGTTTTTTCCAAAATGACTGCAACAAATATAGCGTTAACAGTAAATTATCAATCGAAATCACTTGCGACATCGATGATTCAGTTAAAAAATGGGGCTGGAGAGATTATCAAACAAAAAGATAAAGAAATCGAAAATTTAAATGCAAAGATCGCCGAGCTTTTGCAAATTCTTAACAACAAAAATTACGAAATCGATAATAACATTCAAGGAAAGAATAATCAAATAAGCGAGCTTGAAGTCGAACTCGATCAAATTAATTCTAAATACGAGCTTGAGTTAGAAGTTCTCGAAAATACGCACAAGATGGAAATCAACAATATAAGGGATCAGCAGAAGCGTGAAATTAAATCATTAGAAGCAGAATTGAATCATGCAAGAGAACAAGCCAATTTCTATGCTGAAAGTCGAAAGAAAACGAGTGCAATGTCAAAGGGGATATACGGTTCTGATGAAAAAAGTAATGGAAAGACGTCGTTTTTATCCCAAGCAGCAAAGAATTTACATGACAAACGCTTAGCAAATGCAAAATTTGAACAAAAAGAATTAAAATCAAAAGAATCCCAGTTGTCTAATCAGTTAAAAGATCTAATTCAAAAGCAACGCTCATTAAATTCGTCAAATTCAAAGAAACTTTCAGACAAATTGGATAAGAAACTCAGACAACCATCAGATAATATAAGAAGGCCTAAAACAAATAAGTCTCCCGTTGATTTAGACCAAATTCAAAAAAAGTATGATGATCAACTTAAAGCTGAGAAAGATAACGAGAAAAAGGAAATCCAGGACTTAGAGAAGAAGCTCAAGTCTTTGACAGATGGTTTGGAAAAAATCAAGGAAACGCAAAATATTCCTGTAAAAGGAAAGAATCAAAAAGATACAACTAGTTCAATTTCATCTGTTAATCCTACTAAACAAGGGAAGAAGCCAATAAGTGCTGTTGGTTTTGGCTTCGTTGAGGCTGAAATTGTAAGACTTGTTAATGAAAATGTCTCCCTTAAGAATTTACTTGATAGAATGGATAGACTTGCATACGGAAAAGTCTAATTGACCTGATATAAATTTGTTGTTTCATTAATGTTGATTAAAATGTAATTATTTGATAATTTTTATATTTCTAAGATGAAATAAATAATTTTGTTTAAGTATATTGATAATTGGTCAACAAAATTAAGTCAATCGAAAGCAAGGTCAATCTTCTAATTATGCAAAATGCATATCAAATTACTCAGAAAGATTTATTTATGTGTTATATATTAGAAAAAGTGTTTTATTTAGATAGTTGTCCAAATAGAAATATAGCTGATGCATTACGATATCTTTTTATTGATTGAAGTTTATTAGAATCATGATAAACTCCGCATGAAATTACGAGTTGTCGAGGAATGCCTGAACTTATGATCATTTTAAGGTAGTCAAGTTTTGTGTTCTCAATTATAAGCGGGCATCGAATTGATTGGCATTCTTTAAATGCATGAGTTTCAACAATTTGGACTGAAAGAGGAAAATTAATGTATTGTAGATGAAGACAGTTAATGAATGAATATTTTTCAATCAATTTGACACTCTCGGATAGAATACTGATGTTATATATATTATTACATTCATTGAATGAGTAGCTACATATAACAGTGCAGTTGATACAAAGAGAATTATCTAATGAATGATTAAGATGAAAGATGAGATATTCATTTGATTCATTAATATAGTATAGAGTATTATCAATGCATTTATATTTGCTCGATGAAAAATTACTGATGTTTTTTAGTGAATCACATCCTGAAAATGAGTTTTTAGATATATTGGCAAGAGAATTTAATTCTACGAAAATGATTGATTTAAGTTTGATACAATTAATGAATGCATATTCTGAGATAAATTGAACAGTTGATGGAATATTAATATTTTCTAATAAATAACAATTCTCAAAAGATTTAGAGCCAATTAATTTTGAATTTTCTAATATATTTACATTTTTCAATTTAGCACATTCAGAAAAGCAACCATTAGGGATGCTCAAAATATTTTTAACGTTCTCTAAATTAACGCAATTTGCAAATGCGTTTTTCTTTATAACCAAATTAGTTAAAGCAAAAGTCACAGTGGTCAAAATCGTGCAATTTTTAAATGATTCTATACCAATATCGTTCAAAATTGTTTGTGAAAAGTCAAGTGAATTTAACTTTGAACAATTTATAAATGCGTAATTCTCAATCTCTAAAAGTTGTGAATCTATTTCAAAGTTCATTCTTGTAATGCCAATATTTTCGAAAGCTCTTTCTTTAATTATTTTTACCGCTTTAGAAATTGTAATGCCAGAATATGTTCCACAAAATTCATATATTTCTGTTTGATTTGGATTCATTACAAATAAATCTGTAGTTATGATAAGATCTGATTGATTTTTGTATTGTATATTAACGTTTGTGTTTCTTTCAATAATACCATACATAAAAAAGTTTTACTAACAAAAACCATCCTTAATTTATTTGTATCTCAGTAACTTTATTGCACTTCTCAAATGCAGAATCAGATATTTTTATAAGTTTATTGCAGACCGATAAATTTATTTTACTAAGATTTATGCAAGAATAAAAGCTCTGCGATCCAATTATTGTTAGGTTAGGGTTTTCTTCAAATGAAAAAGATATTAATGAAGTTAGCTGATAAAAGCATTTATCTTGTATTATTTCGCATTTGGCTGATATTAAAAGATCTGGTGATGAATCTGTAACATTAATAAGTTTTTTGCCGTCTTCCGAATAGCAGCTTTGATCAATCTCTTTGATAAGAAGAACTAAATGTATAATCATGGTGGTTCATTAATAATAACTTTTTATCAAAATTTAAAGAATTAGCTTTGGATTTAAAATATTTGAGAAATTATTTTTATTTTTTAAAATACTGTTCATCGCCCATGTTCAATTGTTAATATTACACGTGTTAAGTTGCTTGTTTATATCAATACAGGTATTTTTTCGTACCAAGGGAAAAAATCTTCCCCTCTAATTAAGGAGAAAAGTGACTAATCTGCCCGATAAGCGCGGTTCTTCTCAATTTTTTTAGAGAACGAGTAATGCATAACATTCTTACCATGAAGTTTTCAGAAGTACTGTAAATGTTCCCTCATTCTACAATTTTGAAATCATTTCAAGTAAAAAACTGATTGTTTGGATCATTAGTTGCAATAATCCTTGAAACAAATATGCTTTATATTATTAGGTTGCATTATACAAATATCGATTAAATTCAACCAATTATACCTCCTTTGGCCCAAGGTTTCAATCATGGAAAGTTGAAATTTTTACGACTCAGTCACCTAATCACTATAAAAATATACGTCTATTACAACATATTACAACGCAGATAAAAACGATAGTCATCTGACGATAATCACACTAAAAAATTGAATGGTGGAAATTTAAAATTGAATGATGAAATAAATTTGACTCGGAATAGGATATATAATGGTATATTAGAATTCTAGTTTTTTTAATTCGAAAATTTTCACATGTTCTTGAATTTATTTCATTTCATTTTTGATTTTGTTAATTGATCGTTCATGGAACCTGACTGGAAACTCATTGGCAAAAACATTTCCAATTATATTGATAATGAAACATTCTTATCCACGAGAAACCCAACAGATATTTGCAATGTTCTTGATAATTCAAAACTACTTCCCCAAGAATTCACAACTTTATTCACAAATTTATCCAAATATCATGGCAAATCAGATATGATTATGATGCTTGGACATGCACATACCTCAGAATTAGTTACACAGGCAGAAGTTGATAAAATCTCGGAAACCATTTCATCTATTCTTGGAATCAGCCTTCTTGATACAGTATTTTCATTTACTAAAAATAAAACTCAGGAACAAAATTCAAATTCACAAATTCAAAATAAGGAGGAATTAAGAAATTTTTATGTGTATTTCGCAAAGGAGAAGCAGTTAGATTTCAAAGATATTAGTATGAATACTACAATCGAGGCTTTTAAATTATTGCTCCAGAATAAATCAGGTGTTCCAGTTAAGAATCAACTTTTATATAAATGCCATAAACCTGTGCCAAATAGTGGCACTTTAAAATAATATAGTGAGGAACCATACTTTATACTTCATGATGGAGTAGTAGTTTTACTTAATGATGTTCATTATCCTCTTGATATTTCAGATTGTAATATCACAGTGGAGGAATTAAAACAAAAGTTTAAAGAAGAAACAGGATTTCTAATAAATTATCAAATAATGAATTATAATGGAACGATTCTGGAAAATAATCGAACACTAGCTTATTATAAAATTCATAAATGCTCAATAATCGAAGCTGAAGTTGATTTTAAAGGTCCAACTGAATATGATTGTACATTTCAAGTATACATAGATATTCTGTATAAAGACAAGACTATCGATGTTTGTTGTGATAAGATAAATTCATATGTCTCTGAACTTAAATTACGAATTTATGAGAAAACAGGCATACTTCCAAATGGAATAAGTCTTCATTATTATTATAAACATCTTCAAGATGATAAAAAATTAAGTGATTATGATGTTTCTCCTAGTGGCTTAATTAAGGGTTATTTAAGATTACGTGGTGCAAAACCAGTGATCTATTTGTATCCAAAGGAAGAAATAGATGCGAAAGTAAGTATCAAAATTAATTATGGAGATTTTTCGTTCGTGTATCCTTCATTCGACGAAGAGAGCACGTGGAATGTAAGAGCTCACCCATCAGGTGAAATTCTCCACAGAGGAAAAAAGCTTCGGTATCTCTTCTGGGAAACAATATTCTATCCTAATCTCAATATGGACAAAGGATTCATTATCAAAGGTGAAGAGAGTGTCTCTTTCTTTGAAGATTGTCTTAAGTCTATGAACCTCAACGACACAGAGATATGCGATTTCATCACCTACTGGTGTCCGAAGCTCCACGAATACAAATATGTCAAAGTATCCTTCCAGTTTGAAAACTTCGACGAGATGTGTCCAATGAACGTGGAACCGAAACCAGACAACATCAACAGAATCTTCTTCGCAGCCCTCCCTCTAGATAATCCATGTGAAATCGAGCCACAAGAACTTCCAACCTTCAAACGTGATGGCTTCACAGTCATCGAATGGGGTGGAACTTTAGTTACACCTGAAAAACTCTAATACATTATTATTTTTTTTCCTGTGAATTCAAATAAAATATCTAAAAAGCTAAATTCTATCTTTTTTTAATATTTGTACTTGTTTAATGGTTCACTGACGCACATCCGATTTTGATTGAATATCATTGAAAATTAACCTTAAGCAGATTAGTTGAAGACCATGTCCTATGGGTGAAGTGCACCTTTAATCTAATGCTATTATTTGAACTTTTTGTAAGAACAGATTTTAGACTTAAGGGTGAACTTACCACTTTCTGACTTTATCTTACAATATCAATATATCTTTATTAGAATAGCAAAAAAGTATAACAATCATAATATGTATTTTTATAATAACTTTTTTCCGACCAAAAAAATATTAAGAATTTACCTTAGAAAATTGGGATAAATAATATTGGTAAGTGCACCCTTATACACAAAAATTATAATGAAAATAAATATTTATACAAAACAATAAATAATAAAAAAAGTTAATAAAAAACTTTGATTTCATGAGGATGTGCATATGATGTGAGAACAGGAGAAACATATGCAGGGTATCCAATAGGTTGGTTGCAAGCTTGAATAACTAAATTATTCAAATGGAAATGGTTAGATTGGATCGAATTTCTTTCTTGATTATCATTCTGGAAATAAAGACACGAAGTGGCCTCGCTTTGCCACAAACTACGTGCGGCATAACTATTATATGAAAAGAAATTCCAATGAGAATTGCAGTTCTTAAATATCAACAAATATTCATTAGATTGGATAGTAACAATATATTTTTGGAAATTCTTAAATGAATCTTCGAATTCAGGTGAATTTGCTGGAATTGCAACAAACAATTCATCAATATATGCAATATCTGTGCTATATCCTAATACAACACCGCATGTAACTGCTAAATATCTACGAGTAAATGACGAAAGAATATTTTCAAGATCAAAACGATCAATATCAATATCAACATCATCTTCAATTTCATAATGATTCGTTTCAGAAAACAAACAAATAATCTTATTAACTCGAATCGAAAAACCTTCTGCAATAGAATGATTAATAATATCAATGATTTTCTGGATTTTCATTTGGTCATCAACTGAAAATTTTGCTCCAATTGTTGAAAGAACTCTTAAATCATCATTAACAAATTCTTGTTGATTTTCAACAATTTCGAAAATTCCATAATCTCTTAGAACAAGACTTAGCGTCAAAAGAAAACATCTCTTGAGATCTTCCTGCGAAATACCTGAGAACCATGATTGATAACTATATTTGTTGACTTCAATAGTATCTAATGGAATTTTATTAGCTAAAAATCGAAAAGAACATTGCAAAGAAATAAATGATTGAGAAGTATTTTCAGAAATAGAATCTTCAAAACTAAGTCTTGTGTCTGTTAATGTGTTTCTTTCTGACGTGTGACAAATAGTTTCATTAGTATATTCAAGCCCTGAAATTCTGAAATTTACACAATATGAATCTCTAGAAATAATTTCAATGAATAAATGCATTTATTACTTCCTGCATCAACAACACCAAGTTTTCCTGAAAAAATCAGTTGACAAAATGATGATTCAAGTGTTTTAGAAATAGAATAATAAACAGGAACTTCTGCAAGATGGTCTGTTAATGATGCAGTCAATGATTTAGAAATAGAAATAGAATCAGTGCTTTCCCAAAAATTGGATGGTTTCAATGATGATATCAATCGATAAACATGCATTCCTGCAACATCATTATACAAATTACCAAATAAAAGAGAAAAAACAAAAGTAGGAAATGTGAAAAATCTTAAAATTAATTGAAAAAGTCGAAGAACAACGAAATCTTCTGGATATCTGTATTGATATGTAAATAATTGTACTTGTAATACTGGTTTGATGCTATAATACTTACGTGCAAGCATCAAACTAAGAAATAATGCACATGTTTTCGATGAAAAAACAAAATCATAATTAAATAAAAAAGTAAAAGTGAAAAGTGATAAGAAAAAAGTATGTGGATCTGTAAATGACTTAGTAATAGCATTAACACACGTGATACTCATAAATAATTTTGAGGATTTGTTAAAATTTAAAATTTGGCCAATCAAAATTGGAGAAATTAAATGAGGAGTCATGTATCTGATGATGGAATACATGATATTCTTTGAGTAATATATGTTTGTTGTGATTAAAAAGTATCTGTTCGTTGATAAAATTCTTGGAAAAATATATTCAACAATTAAACAAATTCCTGTGAGTACTGTTGTGTATATTGTGATGTTACGATTAACATAGAGTCCAATGAAACTGAACGCATAGTGAAAAACGCTTAAAAACATTGAAAAATATATATGACGAAAATTTTCTTTAAAATTCGATGTCCAGAGTATAGGGAATTGTATAATGATCGTTGTTAATGGTATTGACAAAGCACGAAGCGGTTTCGACTTGAAATCTAAAAAATAAAATATTAAAACGCAAAATGAACCTCGAATGAACAAAGCAATTGCATGTAGAATATCTCTAGAGTTTGCACAACCAAACGCGTAGTTGTTGAAGTTCTCTAGAACGTAATGAACGAAATTTAAAGGTGATGAAATTAAAAAGTGAATCATAACAAAAGTAAAGCCTGAAACTACAATTGTAAGTATTCTGAAGAGATAGTAGAAGATATGAAACGATATTGTAACGTCTAAATCGGAAATATAATATTTTTTGTCTTTAATGAGGTATAAACCGTAAATTGACGCGAAAAGAAGTGTAAAAGTGAATATACGTGTGATTCCGTTTGATATATCACCTTTTGTAAGCGAATACGGCTCAGAATCTGGTGGCATCAAAAAAAGATGAATAGAAATGCCTAAATTTGCTACGACGAATATTTTGACCACGTAGGAAAGATAATATTAACGTAAAAGCTTAAAAAATATGTAAAAAAGATAAAAATTGAACCAATTAAAACATAAAGCAACGAATTATTATTAGGAAAAACGGATTCGACGAACTTACGAGTTATTCTGAATGGAATTATAGAGCCGCAACAGTTTAAATACAAACCGCGTTTATTTTTATTTGAATTTTGATGATTTCGGATTAAACTGTAATCATTTCTGGTTACTATTGTGTAAAACATGTATACATCTTCTGGATTGTAGCCGTCAGAAATAAATTTTATAACCATATCTTCTGTAAAAGGTTTGTCTTTTGAAAAATCGCGAATATGATCCCACAATGATTGTGGCAAGTTCGAATTGTTTTCAATTGTTGGTATTACTTCGTCTTCGTTGTCAGACGAAATTTCGAAAGATTTATCAACGAGAAAGGATAGTATATAAAGTGAAAATTTGATTGAAAACTGTGCTAGCATGAATAGTAATGAATATATTATTTTCCAAGCAAGTGAAGGGTTTCCAATTAAAGGATAAACGAAAGATCCGGAAAAGAATATAATTGAAAAGACTCTTGCTAGCGCGACATTAGTAGATCCCCCGACTCTCATGCCGAATCCAGAAGTGAGAATTGGAAGATCATGCTCCGCGAAATTTTCCATAAAGTGGAAGAAAAAAAAATATTACAAATTCTTTTATTCGACAGAATCTATTAGCCAACAATCTATATTTCTATACATGGGAAAGGTAGTCCCACGAAAAGTGACACCCTTCTTCTTTTTTCCTAGGGTTACTGTTCGCTTCTTTTCTGCTCGTTATGGCAGAGATGAAAGAAATGATTGGTGGAGCCTAATTTATTACTCCAATTAGCAACTATCTTATATAGTATACTTAGTTGTATTGTCAGTTATTCCCCAGCATTATGCAATTTAAAATCAACTTCGTTAATTTTAATTATATTGCAATAGTACTTCTACATGGAGATAACATCAAGATTGCACCTGCCAAATCCCCATATTAAAAATCGAAATTTTACATCTCGAAAATGCAACGACAGAATTCCTCGTAATTTTGAGTTCTTACGTCGCTCATGATACATATTCAAATAACTTGAATATAGAAAAAGTTACTAAAATTTGAGAAAATTATTGCAATAAGAAAAAAAAAGTCGGCTTTTAGATATAAATTACTTATAAATTACGATGACCTCTATAATGAATGCACAGTACCGAATATAATTGTTTGATATTTCTGATTTCAATTTTATACATTTTGATTGGAATAGTCATAACTCAAATATAGATGATAGTTACTACATTTATGCGAATATAGTACGTTTCCATTCATCTATTTACTTGTTGTTGTTGAAATAAAAACTTTATTATTTTACTATCTTAAAATAAGAATTTTGTTATGGAAATAATATTTTCAACAGCAATCATGACATTGCATCAACTATAGAATGAGTTTTTAATAAATATGATATCCAAATCAAAAAATAGATGTTTTTTATGAGTAAAAACGATTCCATTTGATGATTTGATTAATTATACAATACTTTGATTTTCCAAATTTTTTTGAAAATTGATTTTTTCAAGAGAAAAATCAAATTTTTGATTTTCATTTTTGATTTTTTGAATTTTTTTTGGAATTTTGAGTTGATCAATTAAGCAGAATGAGTAATGCGAATGCTTTTTACATCTCACAGAGTGATGAGTTAAAGGTGAATTTTAAAAAATTATTTTAAATCACAAATATCTTTCTTATTATCCTTTACTCTAAAAAGAATAGTACTAAGCATTGATAAAGCATGATCTATATTAGTAAAATACTTGAATGAAAAGTGTAAAAGTAAAGTTTTTATTCATTTTTATATTAGATCTAAACAAAAAACTGCATCATATTAATGTTCTCGTCAAGAGATGAGATTTTGTTCGTTTTTGTTAGCATTCAGTAGACATTATAATCTTGAATTTTATATATTACTTGAAATTATTAACAAATGTGATGTTTTGCTTCGATTTATGATTAATTTTATTAAAGTATCTCGACATGTATCTTGAACATGATCGTTTCTTGAAGAACTCCAAGATTTTTAAGAGACTTCTTACGAAATTTGATAGATGATAAGAACCACCATTTACGCAAAATGGTTTATTGAATATAAAATAATTCTGTAGTGATCCATTATCATTATACTATTTTCAGTCAAATCCTCAAAAGTAAGAATTCAAATCTATTATTTCCCTGATAAACCGGATATTACATAATAAACTATAATCATGTAAGCTGGGAATATTATGGTTTTATTCAAAAGCTCTAATTATACTTAAATTTGAATAACAAATAATGAATATTGATATTTACTTAGATTTGAAATTAAATTTGATATGTAAATCATAACATGATAATTAATTTATAAAAATTATGGAAATTAAAACGTAATTCACAAATCTTTTTATTCTTTTAGTAACTTTTCAAACTAAGATCATATCATTCATATTTGGAACCTACTGATTCTATTTATCTTATTTATTTGGAAATCTGTAGTTTAGATTCTTCGTGGGACTACCTTTTACATGGGCAAATGGCGGGAAAAGTGACAACCTAAATTTGTAGTGGCGGGGATGACATTTTTTGTTGTCTAGTTGAGTATAAGAAATCTCACTAATAGATGACAAATATAATGCATTTCCCTATCACATGGAAGCTAGATGAACTTTTGTTCAAAATGAGTTGTGAAATATGAAACGAAAAAGAATTTCAAATTCAATTTCAATCATGAACAGTTCTTTAATCTGTGAAAACAATAAGATACCAAATACTAAAGGAGCACAGCATGATCCCTACATTGTGCTTGCAGTAATCCAAACAAAAAATAATCAGCTTATTTTCTACCCAAACATAGAAAGAAATATGATGTAATCGAACCCAAATACAAATGAAAGCTCCTCAAGTTGCTTTCGAGTACTCATACGGCTTATAAATCTTTTCTAATTGTTGAAAAATAAAATTTTGATTTATTTTTGATATCTATCTTGTTTTTGTAAGTCAGATACCCCCAATTTAGTTATGTTTATAGTTACTATAGAGAATTTTCTAAGATAATACAATTCGATATTGATAAATAATTAGCGCTCATATATTAATGGTAGGTTTGGCTAGATTCTACATAAATACGATAAATCATGACTTGTAGCTAATCTATTGATGGAAATGTGAATTTGATAGAAAAATCGAAAGTTCGTTCAAAGTGGTCAACGACCGCCATTTGGCGGAGCCTATCCTCCAATAGTATATCGAAGTAGAAGCCCAAAAGAATATTTTTATTGCATTAAAAGACTCATCTTTGAAGGTGGCGTCGCCATCCTATTCAAATTCTGAAATTTTGAATAGTTTATATTACCCTAATTGAGAGCCCGCCAGTGGCGGGCGGCGGAGAAAAAAAAATAAGAGTGATTTTTTAGAAAAAATTTAAAAACGCAAATTCCTTTAGAAATAGAATCAACTTTAATAATAAAGTATAATTTCTCGTTTAATATCATGATGAAATGATAGTAAACTATTCAAAAAAATTCAAAAAACAAAAAAATAAAGAAAATTTTATACTTTTTGTAAGGGCAATTTTTTCCCCATCTATATCCTGCCACCTATCGTTCAAATTGAGTGTGGCGGGCAAATAACCCGCCATTTGCCCATGTATATATATTTCTAAAAAGAAGGCGTTTTTATTGGTAATTAATCAAGTTTTGAGTTCATTATCAAAACAGAGAATTTAAAATCATAATACTTTGTGTGCCCAACAGCACATGTAACATATAAAAGAAGTGATGTTCTTGATTCAATTTATTAAGAAGCTTATCCATTACTATTTTATGTATATTGATAAATAAACTATGTGGAGAGAACTTCTTTTGTAACATAAAATGATAGTATAGGAGTAATGTAACTGAGTGTTCAATGTTAAAAAGAATTTTAAGAGTCTCTTCATTCTGAATAAAAAAAATCTCAATAAAACAACAATATTCTTTTGATTTTCCATGAAAAACGCTTAGTTTTTGGCTATGTAAACTAGGAAAAGCTTTTGTTTTAATATTTCTCTCAAAATTTTATTGAAGATAAATCGAATTTCTGAAGTTGATTCAAAATTTAAAATTTGAAACGAAAATAATCATACATAATTGAATTTAGGAAATCAATATAATTCGAATAAATGACTAATTATAATATTTTAAGAGTCTCTATTAAATGGAATTTTTAACAAAAAGTGACAATTTCTTCTTCACTTCTTATTAAAAATGTCTGTAGAACAACAAAATCAGATGCAAAATGCTCATGTTGTCCTTGTAGATAAAGATGACAATCCAGTTGGCGAAGCTGATAAATATACAGCACATCGCACTGAAAAGGGTCCACTTTTACACAGAGCATTTTCCTTGTTTTTATTTGATTCGGAAAGAAGGCTTTTGCTCCAACAAAGATCATCTAATAAAATCACCTTCCCATTGATTTGGGCAAATACATGTTGCTCACATCCTGAACCAAAAGAAGCCGTTCTTGATGCGGCTGTTAGAAGAGTCGATCTTGAATTGAATATCAAGCTTTCTTCTGATGCTCATCTTCAAGAATTGGGATCATTTGTTTATAAAGCTATTTATGAGGATGGATGGGCAGAATATGAACTTGATCATGTTGTTTTTGGATATTATGATGTCAAAGAAATAAATCCAAACCCAGAAGAAGTTCAAGCAGTGAGATGGGTAACTCAGGCAGAATTTGAACAGTGGCTTAATGAGAAACCACAAGAACTATCACCTTGGATCAAAAAGATTTGGACTCAATTCCTTCAGAAGAATTGGAATAAATGGTGTGAAAATAAAAATATTCCAGAGTCAGAAATTTCTTTGAAACCGTTTGATTTGGAATAAATGCTTAATGATTAAAAGCTTTTTATTGCTTTCACAATAAAATAATTTTTATTAAATTTTAATCGAAAAGTATTTATGCAGCATTGTATACATCATATAACTTTTGGGAACTGCACACACCGGTTACATAAACAGCCAAGTTACTTGCAGTGCTTTTATCATTTTTTGAAGTTAAACTCTTCCTAGTTGAAGCCATTTTGAATAAATCATTTACAATGGCTAAAACACCCGGTAAATAGCTCGATATCCCAAATTAATTGAAATTCTTCTATATTATTTGAATCTTGGAATTTAAGCATCGCAGTTAACTGTGCAATATCTAGGCGTAATCTTATCTTGTCAGAAAAATGAAATTTATGACAAAAAATTTCCAATACCAACAATACAATCTGAATATATTTTTCGATAAAAATTAGATTTTTTCAATGCAAGGTTTTAAATCATCACAAATTTTAATTCAAAAAATGTTTACAATTTTAACGTATAGTTTTATTTTTCTTAAAATAATGTTGTATACATTTTTTAAGACTCGATGTAAAAAACTAACATGTTCTCAATTGAATTATATAACGTTCATCTGGATAAATTTTAGTATATAAGCAATAGTGATGCTATACATGAATGTGTTTAGATCTATAAAATTGACAACATATTTTGACATTTCAATGTATAATCGAAGGTTTAACCCAGGGTATCCTTTGATTGTAAGAGATTTACCTTTGGATATCGATGCAAACTATTTAGCTTCATATCTTGGGCAGGTAGCGCCGATCCTTGAATGCAGAATTGAAGGAACAATAGGTTTTATCAAAGCAGAAAGCGAAAATGCAGCTAATTTGATTATTGCACGACTTAACTACAGTAAATTCAATAATATTCCCATACAAATAATTAAATATGATGACGAAAATCGGAGAATATCAGCCGATGGAATTGGAATTGTGATAGTTAGAGGCTTACCGCCAAATATTGAAATAATCGATGTTAACAGATTCTTCAGCCGCGTCGGTGAAGTTTTAAACGTACAAATTCCTCGTACAGATTGGGGATCTCTTGGATTTGCTTTTGTTCAGTATAAAAATCCAAGTAATGCATACAAGGCAGCAACAGAACTTACTGGATTCAAGGTAGGAGATAATATCTTAAGTGTGGAAGTAATTAAAAAAAATGGAGCGATAATGAAGATTAGTCAACCTTCAAACATTCAAATTCAGCAGCCAACAAGAAAACAAATCACTGCCAGAATAGGAGATAGCCATAAAGCAACTAATTATCGCGGATATAATAATTCTTCTGCTGCTCAGCAACCAATTAATGTTTCGGTTCCGAAGAAGCAACTAAATTCCATGGCTCACATAAATATAGTGAGATCAGCTGAAACCAGAGGTAGATACGAGATCACCATTTAATCAACCTTTATATTGTCCTTTTTCCATGATAAATTTAACCAAAATTGTTAGTAAAAGATTATTTTATTTCTATTGCGTAAAGTCAAACAATTTTTTTAAAATTTACAAGAATGTAGTTTTGATCGATGTAAAATACATGGAAATTACAGATAATATTATTGGAGGGGAAAATCCTCAAAGAATTATTTTGGACCATGACAACTCCTTCAAATGTTACTGTTGAGGATGCTAAAACATTAATTCAAGGAACAAAATCTTGTACATTGAAAATATGAAATCCGCCTGATGGAGAATTATCTGTTGCAAATAATGTTCCTCCTCATGATTATGATTAAATCAACAGTTAATTTGGCAGAAACAAAGCTATTTAGAGTCACACTGTTAACACCATCTTTTTAATAAACTGCGAGACAAAAGGCGTAAGTTCACTTTTAAATTGAGAGAAAGTTTTCAAAATATTCTATGAAATTCTCACAATTTCATATCACATGGTACTTACACCTTTTGTCCCAGGTATAAAAAATCAATTTTATTTAATATATAACATAAGATTAGTAAGTAGATAGATATTATCAGAAAATTTAAATACTCTGTTCAGGATTAGATTATCTGATATTAGATAATCAGGTAAACAGATGCTTTACCTATGGAAATAATATCACACTATTCCCATAGTTACAAAACAAAATAGAATCAACAATAATGAATTTCAAATTCATATTGAAAATTTAACAACGTCAGAGATCACATCTTTGTACTGGTAATGGCTCATAATTTATGTAGCCATTTGAGGTGTTGGATTGAAACGAGTAACCCGAAAGGAAGATTTTTATAAAAAGTATCAAGTATGTTTCGTTAAAAGATCAGAACTTTGTGGAATGGTAAGTCTGTAATTTTATAACTACAATTTGCTTGTGTGAAAATTTTGAGTATTTCTGAAAATTTAAAAGTTATTAAATGATTTTTCGCTAAAATTGATCTCAGTTTATGAGATTTCTTTTAACTAGATTGTAACAAAGCTCGTGTAACATGGATAATAGCCGATGGAGTGGAAATTTGAAATTAGATTTTAACTTAATTGCATGAAATTTAAACACAGATCATGCAGAGGTTTACCATACTTGCCGAACTATATGGACGGCAAGAATTGCAAAGCCGAGCATATTGTTGCCAATAAGGCATTAAAAAAATGATGTAAACTATTCAAAATTGAATACTTACGCCTTTTGTCTCGCAGTTTATTTTTTTTTTGACTGGCGTCTGTGATGCAGCTGGTTTCTACTCCTCTTGCTGTGAAGATTTGTACTTAGATGTATCGTGTTTAGTGACTAGCTCCTGTAGTGCAGCTGGTAATGTCAGAAAATCCAATCTGATATTTAAAATCGGTGTGATAATTGTATTCCTTTAACTTCATGTCGCGGTTCCAAATAAATACGTCAATATTATATTTTGAAAAAGTACGGAATAGCTATAAAAATCGCTTTATTTATAGAATAAGTGGAAAAACTTAACTAATTTTTTATTATTATTTTATTTTTATTCCTAATAAAACTCATCTATGAATTTGCCAGAAAAAGAATAAAATCTTATGTAAGAGCATTATTCGCACCATGTGAAATGAATTCTTCGACGGTTTCTTTTGTATTATATTTTGTTGCAATGTGAAGTGCAGTTTCTCCATCTTCAGTTTTTTCATTGATATTTGCATCATGTGAAAGAAGAACTTCGACAGCTTCTTTACTATTATGCTGTGCTGCAAGATGAAGTGCGGTTTTTCCATATTTATTTTTTTCATTGATATTCGCACCATGTGAAAGGAGAACTTCAGCAATTTCTGGATAGTTTTCATTTGTTGCAAGATGAAGTGCAGTTTCTCCATCTTCATCTTTTTCATTGATATTTGCACCATGTGAAAGAAGAAGTTCAGCTGTTTCTTTACTATTATGCTGTGCTGCAAGATGAAGTGCGGTTTCTCCATCTTCATCTTTTTCATTGATATTCGCACCATGTGAAAGGAAGTATTCGAAAAGGGATGGAATATTAAATATCGATGAATAAACAAAGCATTTGTTAATATCATTAGTTTGATCGAAATAAACTAAAAATGCTTCAAGATTTTGCCAAGATCCACAAATAAATAAATCGATCTCTATATTGTATTCATTCATCAATAATGTAACATAATCAATGTTGTGTGAAATAATTGCATATTCCATGCATTCTTCATCTGGTTTATGATATTTCAAACATTCACTCATGATCTCTGGATTTCCTCCTAAAAATGAAAATTGAAGACATACTTGAGTTATTTCTGAGTTAAATTTCGATCTTAATAGCTTGAAACAATCAACAGCCCCATGGTAACAACATAATTCAAGTAATGAATATCCTTTATTAGAAAATGGGTATAAATCGCTATTAAGTTTTTGATTTTTATCAAATCCATCTCTTTCTGTGAATATGATAAAACTTTCTTTGTCGTTATTCATAATTGCTCTGTATATTGTATTTTCTGTATGAATATCGAGATTTTTAATATCATCTTTTTCGAAGTCTTTAGATTTGTCTAATTTAATTCCATATTCTTTATAAAATAGGAAGTTTGAGATAGTTGAACATTGTTGACCTCTTTGATTTGATATTCATCTGATATGAGTTTGGCAAGAGATAAATATGACTTTGCATAGTGATTATTACACGGAATAAGATTTAAAAAGACTCGTATTATATATTGAGGAGGATATTTATTTGAATCAATCAATTCTGTTTTGATCATTTTGTAAATCGAGTTTAATTCTTCTTCATTTTCCGTTTTCAACTGAAAAAATGCATTGAATAAAATATGGTATTTGTAGTTACTTCGCAATTCACTGTATTTGTTTGGATGAGCGTCTTGACCGGACATTAATAATAATATAATAATTTTTCCATCATTTTCCTGGTGAAGCCTCAATGTTAATTATATGGCGGCTTTTACGGTTTTTTCACAAAAAGGTCCAAAAGCGTAAAGTTTCTTGCACAGTGAAATGTGAAATGTTTTTTCATCATTCTCTCAAAATTGAATAAAAAGTATTTTTTCATCTTCCTCTCAAAATTGAATAAAAAGTATTTATAAAGGACACATTTGCGTTTTACCATATAAACTCCACTCAAATTTATTATTAGGGGAAAAAAATCCTATATATATATGAGTTATGAGCTATAGTTTTCCATAATGACCTACTTTCTAAATAATTATTGGGGCTTTACCATTAAAATCATTCTATTGAAACATGATTTTTTAGAATTTAATCAAAAATATAAAAGTTTACTGAATTTCTCTATTATCACATAGTTCACAATTAACATAGAAATAATAAAATAAACAAAACAATATATAAAAATATTATACAAAATAAAAAAATAAATTATTGAATCATATTCGGGATAAAAGTAATTAATCCATCAGTTGTAACAACAGCAACTGTAGAAATATCACCTAAGAACTTGACAGACGATACCGGCTTCCAAAATCTGAAGAAAGGTTTTTCGATATTCAAGAAGAAAACTTCGAAAGAAAACAATCTTCCTTTGTGATCAACGAAGACAATATAATCGAATCCTTGTGGAGATATCCATGTATCCCAAGCAACAATTGCACTGTCAATTTGTGTCTTCCTGATAAACTCACCATTCACATTGTAAACAGAGATGAAGTGAGCTTCACTTCCTTCGACCATTTCTGTCATGTAAACAACGATAAAAGCCCAAGAATGAGTGATAATTACATGTCTTGGTCTGCAGCCGTGTAAATCAATTGATCTAACTGTTCCTCCATTGTTGAGAGAGTTAATGATCAATGAACCATCTCTTGTTCCCATTACTACTAAGTAATAAGAAGCAGAAACAGCGCAACACTCAATGGAATATCTGTAAGATGGCATAACAACAATAGGAAGAACTAAATTGTCCAATCTAAAGACACACAAAGCTGTATCTGTCAAAGCAACAGCTATGTAGTTTCTATCGGAATCCAAACAAACGGCGTCGTTATGGAGAGCGTTCATTTTGTCTACATTTCCTGTTGTCATGTCAACAATGTAGACACGACCAGTAATTGGAGAAATGCAGGCAATTGAACTCTGTCTGATGTTCGACCACATATTACTTGTTTTCTTCGTCGTAATTTGTGGCAAATTCTTGACAGATTTAGTGGTAATTGTGACATGTTCCATGTCAATGTTTCCTACATCGTATGATCGCAATGAACCAATAGATGGTGTGGAAACAGGCATTAACTTTTTGTCAGTTTTTGGTTTGTCACTTTTTGGTTTAACTGTTGGAATTTCTGTCAAATTGGAACTTGATGACTTTGTAGGACCGGAATGGGAATGTCTTGGTTTTGGATGGTTTCCGTTGATTCTCATGTACTGTGAGAAATCAACCGTTGCTGTGAAAATCGTTCCATTTGCATCTAAAACACTGATTTTCGCGTTAATCAACAAACCATTTTGTCCTGTCATCGGATCAATTCTTGACAAAAGAACTTCACCGGATAAAGGTATGTTAAAACCACAAGGACTCGTAAATGTGTATTGCGGATCAATGGAAAATGTTCTTTGTGGGTGAGGTGAAGTGAACAACTGAGGAGGAATTTGGCCGTTGTATTCCAAAACACTTTGTATTTTCTGAGTTTCTTCTTCTGATTTCTCTGTCGACCAAATGTCTTCGTACATTTCCTGTGAATAGATATTCTCAGGGAACCCATCACTGTTAGATTTCTGGCGAACACCCCATATCAAATCAATCCAATGATGTAAATTTTCTGTCACTTTTGGAGATTCCAAAATTTTTCTGTGCAAATAAACGAATTCTGTTGCGTTTTTAGACCATTTCGGAAGTTCCACGTCATCATTTGGTTTCTTTGCCTGGTTATTGAACAAGAACTCTGGCATTCCGAAAAATTCAGGTGTCAATTCCCTGTAATCATTCAAATTATGTGTAACTTGTTCATATGTTTCAGAAATTGACATGAAAATTGGGTCAGAATTATCAAACAAAGATTTCTGAATATCGTTGTTCATCGATGTAAACGGTTCAATTCTTTGAAGATAATTACAAACAGAAGGTTCATTGAGAGGAGCACTTTGGTACATAGAAATTGCTTCACCAGCTTCATGTTGTTCTGACATTTTCTTGAAAATTTCTGTCAATCTTTCTTTGTTCATTACTCCCAAAGGTTTATTCAAATCTCTGTATTTCTCTGGTTTATCTAATGAAAAAGAAGGATCTATAAAATCAGAGAATACCCATGGAAGTATTGGATACTGTGTCAAATCATTAAATGTTCGGCCACTCATTATATTCAGATGCATCAAATATTCGAAATTAGAAACTCTGTTTTCCAACCATTTGTTTGTCATTTGAGAGCTCTGGAAGAAGACTTGGAATGGCTTAGTTTGAAGTGTTTTGACATTTGGCAAATTCAGTTCTGACATCTTTTGTAAAATGTCAAGAGAATTATCGTAAGGGAAATAAATGAAATAATTTTTGCCACTGTCAAAAAATACTTCAATTGAATTTGGTTTGTGGAATCTTCTTCTAAAGAACAGATGAATAATAGTATTCAACGGATACCATTTCTTTTTATCAAGGAAATTCAATTTGAGGTATTTCTTTGTTAACACAAATTGTGCATCTCTTTCATTTGAAGGAGAAATTACAACACATTGTGTTTCAAAGAAAATTTGGGATTTGTCTTCATTTGGAGTATCAATTTCATCATTAATTCTTCCGGAAACTTCGAACAATTTAAGGGGAACACTCATTGAATCTCTTCTTACTTTGATTTCGTTGTTATAGAAATGCAAGTTTCTCTTCAATTTGAATGGACAGAATAACAAACAAGCAGTATTATCTCTCTTGAAATGAGATTGGTCAGGAGACAAAAATGACCATGGAGCTCTTTCTACACTCAAATATCTCCAAAGAGTATTCCATCTTCTTACGTTTTCGCGTCTTTGGAATGCGATGTCGTCAATCACTGATCCGACACTAACTAATGATTCGCCAATGAAATCATCAGTCATATACGATGATCCACTTATCATCTTCTGTGAATTTTGAGAAACTAATGTACAATAATCAACAGAAGTAGAACAAATCATTTGGACAATTGATTGATCTAATAATGGTCTGATTCTTGCTGTGTGAGTAAATGAATTCTCTATACATTTCTCACATGTTATCATTGTTTGCTGCTTTTGGTTGCATTTGTTCATATGATTATTTAATAAACAAACGACATTTGAGATTTTCTCTTTTTCGTCGTCTTTTATCTTAATGTTATGTGCATGAGTAATGGCAACATCTGGTTTGGAATGCAACAAAAATGAACAAATGATTAAATCTGCCATTAAAAATTCAGAATATCGATATTTCAGAAAAACTTCTGTCACTTTTTGTGCCAAATCTTGATCCAACCAATTTCCTTCTGGATCGAATCTCAAACCGAAAACAGAGAATGATCTATATTGTGACATTTTCTCTATTTGGTCCAAGAACTCACTCGCCTTTGGATTTTCGAAACTTCCTGATGTAGATCTGATGAATGGAGGTAATTCAGGAAGATCTGGGTCATTTATTTGCTGGCTTGACACTGTTCGTGACATATGTTTGATCTGGTTACTGAATGTGTCATAAGTAATGATGTGTTGTGCAGATGGAGATCTTTTTGGAGGAGGATGCTGAATTCTTGGTTCATAAAATGGAGATTCTTCGTAGAGTGTCTCCAGATAATCATTCTTCTCACACATGCTTCTAAATAACAAGTAATACCTTGATAATTTCAAAAACAATTTCACAACATTTTCATTGATAGAACTCATAGAATTATTTGTATTGAAAGAATTCTGAGAGCTCATTGAATTATTTGTATTGGTGTTTTCTTGTGAAGAGTTTTTGAGAATTATGTCGGCAACTGTTATCAAGAATTGGCGCTTCATGGACGACAGATCTTCATTCAACACGTTTTCAATGAAATCAATCGTTGAAAATACACTTCCTAAAGAATTCATCGAACATTGGGTGACAAACTCAATTGTTTTGATGGTTTCTTCATTGCTAGTGTATCTGGAGACATATAACGGCCAAAGAGCCCATGAAAAGTGATAAGCGATGGAAGGATCTGGTTTGACAGCGTTAAATAACACTTCTAAGTTATCATTTTGCCTAGCGAAGACAAAAGCAACAGGTACAAGTTCGAATAACCCATCGTTGATCATTTCCATGACCTTTTCGAAGAGCCAAGGCGTCATATTATTTGGTTGAAGCGTATGAATGATCTGGAAGATCTGTTGAGGAAGGTTTTCGGGTGGTGTGAGTTTCCTTCTTGCGAAAACTACGAAAATATTCATAGCGAAACGATAAATTTTCGGATCATTTCTTGTAAATAACGCGAAAATGAAAGAAGTCAAATCTATGACGTTCTTTAGGTTCTCTAATGGCGAAGGATTGGACATTCCAAGCTGGCAAAGCATCCAAAGGTAATCTGCCACTTGATTATTATCACAACAAGTTATGCAGTGGCTTTGCAAGCATCTGATGTCATCTACTGTTAGATGTATAGTCGCAACATTCAAAGCAATGAACTGGAGAAGTCGCCTTGCTTCAGTTATGTTCAAACTCATTTGGCGATTTTCAATTCCCAAAATTTGAGGATTTTCAGTTGGTTCGTACCAGTAATACAGTCTTAATATTGATAATATCCTCTTAAACGGAAGAACTTCGACAACGATAGACTTATAAGATAATAAAAGATTTCTTGCCCAATGACGAAGAACTAAGAGGTGTCCTTCATCATCACACCTTGACCAGATGTCTACGTTCAATAATATGTCGGACATTATCTCATTCTGTAAAACAGGAAAAGTTATTGACTGCATCATCGCGTAGAATTGTTTATAGAGGGAATATCTGATATTAGAACGATCAGCCTCTAACAACAAGTGAGAAATGATGGCAAAACCTCGTCCCCAATGGAAAGATTTTTGGGCATTTTCAGATGAAGCGAAAATGTTTGAGAAACATTCCAAAACTTGTCTTTGGAAGTCAGGAATCTTTTGTTTGTCTTCAGTTAACATATCCAATTCACTGAAAAGTGGAATTAATATTTCAACCTTGCATAAGTTGATTAAAGCACCTAAAAAGTTGGGTGTCGCTCTAACATTCTTCTTAGATAATGATACTTTGATTGATTCGTCAGTATTTATGGTCATTACGCCAATTCTACTGAGATCATCGAAAATCTTACAGTAAAATATAGGTTTTAGTGGCATTGTGTCATTCATGAGCCTTGGACCTACTTCATATAGTATAGATCCATGGTTGTCTGATAAAACTGGAAACATTGCGAAAGTTCCAATTCTAGAAAACTGATCTGTTTCAGCAGAATCGGGCAGAACGCCGCCAATCGTGCAAGAAACAGGTCCATCATGGAATTTCATGGGTTGGAACTCTAATGGTTCCACTTTTTTACAATTTATAATTGTTTCCATGACGGATTGGTCTTTATCAGTCTTATAAGTGAGAATAAAGAAGTTCCAATGCTGTTTCGGTATGTCATCCATCTCTACACGACCCGTACTTTCATATGTTTCCGATCGTTGTGTAAAGAAAAGTGACGTTGCAGAGAAAAACCAAGTTAACTTACGATTGTGGGTATCTGTGAACTGTGCGATGATCGGTTTATACTGAGCTTGTGCAGAATCAATGAAAGCCCAGAACGCAATTGAAAATCCGTCTTCAAAATGCTTGGCAGTTAATCCTTGTACTTCTAAACTCGCACTATCCTTCGTCATTCGCATCCACATGACTGGTAGTTTCATTGTCGTCTGTACAATCTGGTTCAATATCTGCATATAAAGGTTTATATGCTGAGGAATGTATTTTCCTCGGATTGGAGCAAAAAGAGAGACAAATCGTTGTACTACAGTTGATGATGAACACAAAACAGCTACGGATTGGAAGATAAGAAGTAAAGCATTCACGATTTCTATCGGTGGATTCTTTAATTTCTTAATCATGGCTATGATATAGAGATCTACATCATGGTCATAACAAGCTGTTCTGTTTGCCGGTGAAAATTTGACTAAGTTGTTGATGAATTGAAGAACTTCAAGGAATTTATCTGTTTCTTGAGATATTTTGAGCATGAGTTTGATGGCATCTGGTTGTCTGATATAGAATGATGGGTTTAAGGAAGGAGTTATGTCTGTAGCGACTAATTGAATTAATTTTACCCATAATGTCTGAGGTAATGTGGAATTGAACACTCTGCAGATACAGTTCTCGAGAGCTTGTAATTGTGCGTTGTTCAAAAGTTTGTAACTCGACGTCAAAGCGAAGAATTGAATGTATTGCAGCAAAACTTTTTGGGAAAGAGCCAAAGTAGTCAACTTTGACATGGATGGGAAGAACGACGACCTGAATTTCTCAAACAATTGAGTCGAAGAACGCTTGTGCTTCAATACTTCGTTGAGAGTTTGCAACATATCATAAATTATTACGAGGTATGCTTCACATTGGAAGTTGGAAAAGCAAACATTCAGAACGTGCGTTAGTATGGAAAGCAATTCAGGCGGAATCGGGTTGTTGTTGTCGGACATAAATAATCGTAAATTCGTAAGAGCATATTCTCGTGGAGCATCTTCGAACATAAACGATAGGAAAAATGTTGAAAAGTAATTATTACTGAACAGTTTTTGTCCGCAACCGTCGTATCCCAAAACATGAGACATTAAAAGGAAAAGAGCGGCTCTGGCGCCTTCAATCTCCGGGCAACAGTCATCTGATTGAGTATCAAGGTCCTGGAAGTACAACGAAGCTGGCATAATGAACTTAATAAGGGGAAGTAAGTTATCTGTATTAATAAACTGTAGATCGCGTATAATTCTGTGCATAAGTTCTTGAAAGAGTAATGGATATTGGGCGCAGGCCATGAACGATGGTGAATTGTAATTTGCAGATTTGATTATCAGCTCAACTACTGCATTTCTTGCGGCATCGAGGCAGCCAAAGTCCTCTATGTCATCAAATATCGTATATTTTCCATCGAATACTTGAGTAAGGCTGAAAAATTCGAAAAATGGTTCTTCAAGGTTAATTACTGAGAAATGTGTTGCGAAAAATAGCAAAGACATAATAACTAATGGTAAATGATCGATATTCTGTCCTTTCTTTACGAAATTCGTTGCTTCTGTTACGAAATAACTAAAAAATATCGTATCAAGTTTAGCAGCCCTTAAAAGCAGTGATAATCTCGTATGTATTTCATTCGACAATAAATCCTCGAAGTTCGTTTTCGGTGGTAATGTAATGTTTGGTCGTAAATTGATTCCATTTGGAAAAGTTTTCGCTTCGTGGATTTGAAATGTTACTTCATGGTAATATATTGGAGGTTTCTGTTCTCTGTCGACACCTTTGGAAGGGAATTTTAATGTAGTTTGCTGAGTAATTAAATAAGGAATAATAGATTTCGATAATGCCGTGAGAATATCATGTATGCATTCCATTGATAACAATGGTGATAAGTGGGAGAATAAGGAAAGCTCAGAAATTTCTAATTGAGCTATTGAAGGAGAAATCAAGGATAAAATAGTTTCTGCATCAGTTTTTGGGAAAGTATGTGGATGCTCCTCACATAATATCCCTATCACAGCATATAAGCTTTCGGAAGAAATTTTTGCCCCATTCTTATTTGATTTTTTAATGGCATGGATGCATTCTGGGAGCAGATCGTATGCTTTTAATGGAAAATTCTTGATTTCTGCTGTATAAAAATCTCTAAGACAATCAAGGAAATCTTGGAATAAAATAAGCGGAATATTATTAAGATACGCTGAATAAAGATTGTAAAACATGGTTGTCATTAATGGGATTTGATTTGTAACAAAGCATGGCTTTGATTTAACTAAAGAAATTAGAATTTTCAGCAAAGGTAATAAAGAAGAAACAATATTAGCTGATTTTGACATAATAAGCCATGAAATTGCGGAATGTAAAACGTAGGTTGATATATATGGATAGTAATCATTAATTAAATTGCGGTTGTTCAGATTATCAATGGCAACTTCGTTGAAAAACGTTTGGTAACCAAACTGCATAAGGATTTCCAGTTTTCCATTGTTGTTTTGCAATTCCGTAAGAACCTGACGCTGTTCATTCTGCGGAAATACCGGGAAACTAATTACACCTCCACTCTCTTCAAATATACCTGGAGGAATAGTATCACTTGGTACTTTGAGAGTGATGATTGATGAATAAAGATCGTAATAATTAAGGAATGTAATTTTCTCGATAATGAATTTTTTGGGGTATTATTATGAGTAGGTGCCAAAAGTGCTTACTCTTAAACAACCGTCGGATTTCCGGGTGAAATCGTGACACACTTTCGTCTTTCGTAGGCAGTGGTGGTTGTTACAAAAGGTAACTTCGAATGTAGCGTGAAATCTGCAAAAAAATTCTGAAATTTGAATGGATAACACAAAAATTGAATAGTTTACGTCAATAAAAAAGAGAAAAATGAAGCCACTGTGTCTCGAACCTAGGACTTAGAGCAGCAATCCCACGGTTTATAACATTACACTACATGCATCTCTCACCTAAGTGAATGAGATCAACTATATGATAACTTTTCCCCCATTATATTCTTGTGGAAAAGTGACACATAGCAACTTTGACCCTCTCTCGTATTATTATTGTCGTCTGGCGGTTTTAGACGACAATGCGAATTTTCAAATAATAGGATTTTTAGCCAGATAAAGAGCTACTCCATATATCATGCGTGTTTGCATACTATATACATAGATGGAATTGATGTTCTTCCTTTATTTAGGTACCGAAACATGCTTGAAAAATCTATTTTTTAGACGACAATGATAATTTTGTCACTTTTCCAGACGACAATAATAATTTGTCACCTTTTTAGACGACAATAATAATTTTGTCACTTTTCCAGACGACAATAAAACATCCTCGAATTTTTTTTACATTCCTTTCAATTTTTATTACTCCCCCTTCAAGATCTATCTGAACCATTGATATAATTTATATCATCTTAAAGCATGATGAGACACAAAACGAAATATCTCACCAATAAGGAGATTTCTGAAGATATTTGATTTCAAATTAATATCAATCTCTTTTTTAGAACTTATGAGTATAATGCTGGATTAACAAAGTCTTGGGAAGGACATATTGGAACTCTTAAATGATATATTCGGTAAATAATAAAATATATAAAAAATAAAATGATAAATTCAAATAAATTTTCTTTACAGAAGATATATACAAAATATAGAGATTGATAAGAGCTCATTTGAAGAAAGTGAGATAAATTGCGAATCCCTGGACAAGAGAGAGAGGCCAATTCATATCAAATACGTACTCTGAGTCAGCACGTTTACCACAGAGAAGGAGATCTCTTGTTGGCATAGATGGAAGGATTAAAATGAAGTTCTTCTTTGATGCGCTTTTAACACGGCCATTAAACATCAAAACGTATCTATTATCTTTCTTTTGTGGTTCTTTAGATGAAATTCTGACACAATCTGCGGACATTTTCTCAGCATTTGCTTGACTTACAAGGAATGAAGAATTTCCTGTATAATGAATTGGCGTTCTTGATCCTGAATCACGTACAAGAGCTGGTAATATTACATCTAAGGCAGATAAGTTTGGAGCTTTGGAATTTGTCTTGAATTTAACTGCAACTTCTTCAAAGTCATTCAAAACGCAATAGAAAGATTGCTTTCCTCCATTGTAGACTATGCATTCACCTATATCGCATATTGGTGAAGTAATTATCCAGACTGCATCTTTAATTTTTGTTGATTTTTCTGCTTGTAATAAAATTGGTGCATTAGGCTCATTCTCTTTTTGAATTGTTATCTTTTCAACACTTCCTTTAGTTCTTCTGACAATGCAGTGCATAGTTGTGTAAGATGCAATTGGTGTTGTTAAGAGATTAACGTAATCTGGCATATTAGACACTTTCTGATCAGGAATACCAACAACTAAATCCATTCCTTTATGGATGAGCTGACGCTCTGTTTCTGTAAAATTACGTTTCTCTTTGGATGCAAGAGAAGCTGATGCATGGCCATTATTATTTAAATCAACACTCTCTTCCCAGCCTGGTGCCCAAAGAACAGTCTTGACCACCATACTTGATAAGCATTCTTCCTCAATCATAAACGAATACTTTTTAAAAAAAAGTGTCAAAAATAATTATTTTACTTTTGTACACTACATTTGTATTTGGAATGAACACTGAACATTGAAATATATATTTATAACCCATATCCGTATTCAATCTCTACATACCTCAATAGAAATATTTCTAATTACCTCTTCCTCAAATTGATAAAGAAAACTGTATTGCTTTGCAAAAAGAACTATTAGGTATTTAATTTAGCCACGTCCACTAGGAAAAATGCCGATAATACAAGTATCAAACATTCAGTTAATAAAATTATAAAAAATTATTTGTCTAAAAAAAGTTGATTTAGACTAAATTAAGATATGGGTAGCATCTCTCCAAAACAAATATGAATTTTATAGTATTGGTTAAGTTTAAACCATAATCGAAACAAATTAATTTGAAATTAAAATAATTGAATAGCTAATGTTTTTATCTGATTGAGTATTGCTAAAAGAAAAGCTACGACATGCTCTCCTTTTGAATTTCATGCTTGATTAACAATTATGATATGGTGATTTAATATAATTATCATGCTTTTGATACGAATATTTTATCTTTCTAAGAAAAGATTAATACTGTATAAACAAACAGCTTTCATTCGAATCTGAAAAGTGTAAGCATGACTATGAAATAACGAGAAATATAATATTCAGAAATATTCAAAGTGATTATATGAGGTTTCAAATAATATCTGGGATTTGTTTGAGTACAATTCTCCTCATATATTTGAGTATCTCAAATAGCAATGAATGCATAGTTCTGCAAGGCACTATGATATCAAACAAATTTGAAGAAATAGTAATGCCTGTTTCAGAAATATATAACACAAAGTTAATAACATATATGCCTGAGGAAATAATAGAAAGTAAAACTGTTTACGATATTCCAATAGATATAGGAGACACACAGCTACGCATGAACGGAAAATGGAGTGATGTTGATGATCACCCAGCAAAACCTGTAGTTCTCCCTGAGAAGTTTCAAAGATTCAAAGGAACAATGGCAATACTGAAGAATATATATGTGAATAGAAATTCTGGAATTTTATTACCTGGAAAATTCATTGTTCCAACAAATGATAGTTGGTACTATGAAACTAAAAGGCCAGACAGTGGTAGAGTTATTGCCACATATGATAATTGCGTTTGTTTTGGACATGGTTCAACAAGACTCTATGGACACTGGATGGTTGATTATCTATCAATGTTGATGCTCTTGCCTAAGGAAGTTCTTAAGGCATACAAGTTAATTAATGTTCCTGATATAAAAGGTGCACATGAAACTCTCGATTTTCTAAATGTACCTAAAGAAAATAGGATTCCATATCCTCAGGGATATGATTTGTACTTTTTAAGAAGGTGCTATTATATGTATGATCCCCTTACAATGACAAATCATTATGGCTTGCCATTACAAAGAATAAGAGACTTCTTACACGAAAAATTTCAACTTGATGGAATTGAAAAAACAAAATACTGCTGTTATCAAAGAAACGCTAGAAGAAAGATTATTAACTTCGATGAAATGTTTAATACTCTTAAGAAAGAATTCAAAGAATATAAATGGGAGTGCATTAAAGATCATCAGTCTTTAACTCAATGTGCAAGGTATTGGGCTGCTATCAAATTGATCATCAGCGGGAATGGGTCGCACTATTTCAGATGTTTTTGTATGAATAAAGGTGCAGTTGCAGTTGAAGTTCACGGTGTATTCCATGATTTATCTTGCTTGGGTGCGATTATCATGTGTGGAGTTCATTGCATTACTCTTAAGAACCCGGAATTGACTCACCATGTTTGGTGGGGCGGCGGCTCATATAATATGGAAATCAAAAAGATTGTAAAGACTGTAAAATACTTAAAACCATATCTCTCTGGGGGTCAGTTCCCAAGTGGTCCATTAGTTTTCTAATTGTTTGTAAAAATTCGATATTTTCAAAAAGTTGCTTTTCCATCAATATTCTCACATCACCAAATGCTCATTAGAAGGCAAGAAGCTATTAAATAATGAGAGATAACAAACATAATTAAAAAAAAGTAATTCAAGAGAACATCAGCTCATATTATCCTGAAATATTGGAACATGAGTTGATGATATTGCATCGTTTAGACAAATCAGGGAAATTTTGATGAAATCAAAAAAATAAGCAATCAATGAATAGTAATAATAAGAAATAAGCTATGTTGCTGATTGTCAAACGCAAGTAGTATATGCGGACGGGTTTTGTGACTTTTTTTGTTACATCTATATATAGACGATGCATTAAAATATATTTATTTATAAACCATTAAAAAAATTAACATTAATTTTAAAATAATTTATTTTTTATCTTTTATAAATGACGCAACAAGTAAAACCAAATAAAATAGATTATCGAATTTTAGAGGATGAATTTCATATAAAAATAAGAAGTCTGTTTGACCTTAAGAATGATTTATATATAAAAATAAAATAAACTTCTTACGAAAAATTAAAACTTAGTTATGTTTATTATTTTATTTTTTTATTTTGTATGAAATGAGCGTCAAAACTAACAACGTTAAAAAATTAGGATTCACAAACGAGGAAATAAAGGATATATTAGAGGAGGTAGGTTATGAAGTTAATAAAAAAAAAAAAAAAAAAAGGTAGTGGGGCTTCCAGGCACTTCGTGCCCTCTAGCCCCGAAGATGTTTAGTATAAATGAAGTTCTTATATACGGGTCTTCCAGGAGCTTTTCACAAATTATATATGTTTTCATGTTTTGTCACTTTTCTGTCACTTTTCAGGAAAAAACATTTTTATTATTATATATAAATGAATTTTACAAAACCACCGTTACCGTTCTTTGGAAATAAGAGTAAATGTAAAGATATTCTATTGAGAGAACTTAAGAAACTACCGAATGGTCTAACATTTGTAGATTTGTTCGGTGGAAGTTTCTATATATCCCATTTGTGCCATATAATATTCCCAGACTCAAAGATTATATGCAATGACTTCGACAACTATATGAACCGTCTCAAACATATACCAGACACAAACAAAATATTGAGTGAGTTAAAAGAAAAGATACCTATAGGTAAGATGGAACGTATACCATTAGATAAGAAAAATATTGTGAGAGAGGTTTTGAAAAAAGCAGAATATATAGACTGGGATAGTATATCTGCTAGACTATTATATAGTGGTGCTATAAGAGTTCATGACATTGAAACACTTATGTCAAAAGTTTTATATCTTAACTATACAAATGTTTTCAAAGAGGACATAGAAAAATATATTGAGGGTATAGAGTTTGTGAGATGTCATTGGACAGATTTGTATGAAAAATATAAAGACAAGGAAAATGTTTTCTTTATAGTGGACCGCCGTTCTATAAACACATGGGATTTTCAATACCAAGTAGACTGGACTTTGAGAGACTCTTTAGAAACTTTAGACGTTTTACATAACTGTCCATGCTTTTACTTTACATCCGATAAAAGTGGTTTGGAAACCGTTATGAGATGGTTAGAGGACATACATGACTATGAGTTTATATATGACAAATAGAATATGAGAGAGTCCTATAAACTGGAGAAAGTGTCATAACAAAGAAATTTTATTAGTAAGTAAATGTGGTTTGAAATAGGACTACTTGTTTTAGGTTTTTTCCATTGTGTCATTTATTTATTTGACGTGGCAGAAAAGTACAGAGAATATGAAGATGAACCAATGCCTGCAAATGTCCAGTATATGTACTCGTAAGAGATATTTTTATCTAATATTAAATGGACGCACAGAACTTAGCGAATGCACAGCAACCTGGACAACCAAACCCAGAGAATATTCCAAATGAAGTTAGAATACAAACTGCAATGGCAAAACTATGGTCAAGTGCCAACAGATGTACAAATGCAAACTGCCATGTCAAATGACGCTGCGTTAGGTTTGCCACCATGGTATGCAAATATAGATGGAAAGAGTTTTATACAAACCCTGAAGTGGGATATAAAACAACTTTATGCAGATGACGCGAACACAGGAGTTGACCCAGAATATGTTTTCTACCAGAGGAGAAACAGAATGTATGAGCTCCCAGTTAAAGAATGCTATGGAACTCAACAGGAAACGTAAGAGACTAGGCGACATTAGATTTTTACATATAGTAAAATGGGTTTCTTCAGTAAGATAGGAAACTTCTTTCGAAATGTTGGAAGAGGTATATGGAATGAATAAAAACCGTAGGAAGAGGAATTTGGAACGGTGTCAAAAATATTGGTAAAAGGGTAGGTCAGTTTGTTGGTATTATACCTAAAGACCCTGAACCAGAAGAGCAAGCTCCTGTTATACAACAGCCTGAACCTGCACCACAGTCTAGTTGGCACCAAATCCAACACCTCAACCGTATTAAAAAATTATATTTTTACCGTTCGATAGTAGTTGTATATGAAACTAAGTTCTAAGTAAAACGCATGGTATAATGGAATTATTCTTTTTCTTCCATCTTAGTAAACCATACTTGAAAGTCTGAAATACTTCCACTTGGTGGTTCGTATAACTTTGTAGGTTTTTTCGTAAAAATCATTTGCCAAGCATAAGAAAGAGTTTTGGGCGCCAGAAAATGAAGCATGAACAATAATAGCAGCTGGGTCGAAAAACATCTTTAAATAAATATGGTTCATCTCTTGCATATCGACTGTAAATATTTGCTAAAGGAAGTTCGACTTTCTGATTTAACATTCTTTGCAAATAATACCATGACATTGCAGTGAATTCTGTATATATTTGTTCGTCTTTCTTTGGATTGTCTTCGTAGATTTGAAATGACACTTGTGAATTTTGTTTGTCATATTACAATTCTCACATAAAGTGTGCTCTCGGTATTTGCATATTCATCAGCATATTTTGCATAACATGAATTTATTTTATCTTCTATATTTTTTAACGCAGTCTGTAGAGAGATGAAAGGTCAACTTGTATTAGCTCAATTTCTTCCCACATTTTTCGTTTCCCTTCAGATATATAATCTATATGAAACCTTACAATAAATGGAAAACTTTTATCTTCTACAGACACAAACTTCATTCTACGAAAGCCAATAGCTTTTGTGACGGATGGGTCTCTTAACCATCTTAACGGTAGTCAAAACGATAGCCTTCATGCTTTTACGGTCTCTGTCTCAAACTTTTGACCGACATTAGTAAAAAGTTCATCTAATGGTTTAGTTGTAGCAACTCTTGAATTTTCTTTTTCTATTGGAAGCATATTTTATCTAGAATAAAAATGTCAAATGAAACAGCGTCTATGAGAGAAATACAACACAACCGACAACTCATTATACAAGCTCTAAATAAGAACACAACAAACTTTTCAAACTATTCTAAGATATCTGAGTCATTGAAAGAAGGAAACTTAAAACTGACTTTAAACCAATGACAGATGAGTTTCTGTTTCAAGACAATAAGAACCATTCTGTCTGTATAAATCCAACAAAAGGAACTTTAAACGAGAAACCTATAAATGAACTTCTTTTGAAAACGGATGTTGACAACAAAGCTGACAAAGAATATGTCATTGAAAAAGTTCAAGAAGAACATGACAGAGCAGATGCAACATATGCAACGAAAGAACATACTCATCCTGAACTAGCAGACAAAACATATGTTGACAATAAAATGTCAAGTGAAGTGACAAGAGCTGAAAACGAATATTCTAAAAAGACTCATACACATTCTATATCTGAAATAACAGACTTACAAGAAACCTTAAACAGTAAAAGTGCCGTTGGACATACACATACCATTGCAAATATTACAAACTTACAAGAAACCTTAAACAGTAAAAGTGACGTTGGACATACACATACCATTGCAAATATTACAAACTTACAAGAAACCTTAAACAGGAAAAGTGCCGTTGGACATACACATTCTATATCTGAAATAACAGACTTACAAGAAACCTTAAACAGGAAAAGTGCCGTTGGACATACACATTCTATATCTGAAATAACAGACTTACAAGAAACCTTAACAGTAAAAGTGCCGTTGGACATACACATACCATTGCAAATATTACAAACTTACAAGAAACCTTAAACAGGAAAAGTGCCGTTGGACATACACATACCATTGCAAATATTACAAACTTACAAGAAACCTTAAACAGGAAAAGTGCCGTTGGACATACACATACATCTTCTGAAATAACAGACTTAAACGTTAGCCTTGAAAATAAAGCAGATAAAACATATGTCAATGAAATATACCAAAGTTTGATAGGAACAAAAAATATTGAAACTATTGTTGGTGACTTTTCTGTCAATGAAGAAAAAAATATTTTAGATGGCAGTTTGTACAGTCCTTAGAAAATGGTACACGGTGTAAACTCATTCCGAAAAATAACAATGAAATGTATGTAAGCTATAAAAAGAATGATGGTACACAAGTTAAAGTTCCATTAGACACAACTGCTACTTAAACTTATATGGAGACGAACAAAAGAAATATTTAAGAGTTTATGAAATGACAGATATGACATTGCCTGACCCAGCTCCAGCACCATATTATTATGACTATGGAGATGACGTCAGAACACCACATGTAGATGAACAAAAGCTAACATTATATTTAGATTATTATAGATATAAAAGATATAATGCAATAGAAAAAACGAGAATAGTATACTATTATGAAGATGACAGAAATAAATATTATGTCAAGATTTTACCTACCCTGAAAACATAAGATTATATTATAAAATATTTGACACAAACCAGAAGAAACCTGAAATAGTTGCACTATATTTTAAGTTCAAAAGAGACAATCCTATAATGTCTCATATGTTTGATTTAATGAACCCAGTAGGTTCTATTTATACATCTATGGATGTGAGAGGTCCTCAAGTAATGTTTAGTGTTGGTGCATGGGAACAAATAGTCGACAGGT